GATCCGCTAAAGAACACAACTAGAAATATGTCTTCTCCAAAAAAACTTTTGTAGGCCACAATTTGACGGTAAAACGGTAACCAGTTGAAAAGTCATCCTTATCCATGAAAAAGAATCAGCTCATTTAGATCACCAGGATGGGCTGACTGTATAATAATGGCCCACAACTGGAAATATGTGTTACTTACAAAAACTTTTGTAGGAACAATTTGACGCGCCTGCTTTGACAAAACAGTAACCAGTTGAAACGTCAGCCTGATCCATGAAAAACAATCAGCTCATTCAGATCACCACGACGAGCTGACTGTATAATAATGGCTCAAAAATTAGATTTTCGATAAAATGTTCGTGCCAGAAAAATTGCGTAGCCAGAATACAGTTCCCGTACGCCAGGAACGAGGTGTATCATTGTGGAGGGAACTAAGTTGATTGTCGCGCACGGGATGGCGAAAAAGGGCAACATCTTCGGGACTATAGAGGACATACCTATAGGCGTGACTTCTATAGTGAAATATGTGTCATGTGGGGTAAACTGAAGTCTGGCAATTGTGCAAATATTTCGATATCATTAGTCAGATCAAAAGAGAATTGTGTGTTGTTTGTGATTGAAATTGCTGCTAAGCTCAAATTGACTATGTCTACCCTATTTCACGAGTATCACGCTTTGACGTCTACTAAGGTGAACAGCTGATTAGCAAGTGACATTTTTGTGTTAGTCTGCAACGTTGGCAATGATGAGCCGGTGTAAATCTAGTAAAACTTGTTTGCAGCGTTTTGTTTCTTGTATGCAAATGAACTTTCGTAAATAAAAGAGCTTTTAGCAAGTACAAAATGAATTTGTTGTGTACAAAAAATCAAAACAAAATTTGGCTCTGTCTACCTGGCATTGACGGATCCGTCAGAATTATGTATCCTTTGCGGATATGGGGAATTTTGAAATATTACTGGATAATTAGCTGTCATTTTACCGTAATGGATACTCGTGAAAAATACCGTATGTTATTGTCGTTGATATCCGTTTATTTTCATATTGTACGTGTCAGGCACAAACATTTCAGTCTGATATCCTCTAGGTGGCGCTATCAGCAAACTACCACAGAATTGATTACACACTGCAGTCGATCTCAAAAAAAAGTTTTGCAAGGACCTAAAACGTAATTGGGCAAATGTCCGAATAAATTATCAGGGTTTACAAAAATGTTGTTTTTGAGTCAGTATTATTGAAGAGCGTTCAACGGATAATTAGCAATATTGTCTTTTTCACGAGTGGCATCACGGTAGAATTACAGCTGATTATTTAGTAATATTTCAAATTTCCACATATCGTCAAATGATGCATAATTCTGACCGATCCGTCAAAGCCAGGTAGGCAGAGCCTTATTTTGTTTTGGTCTTTGTACTCTACAGATTCATTTTGTATTTGCAAGAAAACGCTACAAGCAAGTTTTACTAGATTTACACTCGATTCGCTTTTATTACCAACGTTACTGACTAATACAAAGATGTCATTTGCTGATCAGCTGTTCATCTCAGTAGACGTCAAAACTTGATGGATACTCGTGAAATAGGGTTTACTGTTTCTACCGTGGCGGTCTAAATGTCTTATTACTTTCTATGGTCATCGGTATATGATGCGCACAACTGATGTCTAAATTTAGTTATTTCTTTCCCTTCGAAGAGACGGAATCAGAACATAAAATACCTGTATTGAGTTTGCTAATCCTTTTTATAGTAATTTTTCTCTACGTCTCTTCTTATATCTTTGTACTATTGTATTGTTTTCTGAGTGGAATAATAGCTTCTCCAATAAAAGCGTTATTACTATTTATCAAGTGAAAATTTAGCTGATGGTTTGCACCAATAAATTTTAAGCTACCGACTCACCCTGTAGAGCGGCGAAGTAAACTTGATCTTCAGGCGACAAAGTGTATACCGGCTTGTCCCACGTCGGCGGCCTACTTAGATCCTCGTGCACATAACTCGAGAACAGCGTCTGGAGTCTTTGCAAAATGAACTCGAACGGCGATGGTAGTCTGTCCACTTCCTCGTGGGGCCCGAAAAAGAACTTGTTCGCCCAGAAACCCCCATTTGGAGGGCCCACAGCCACGATTTTGTAACCGGTCGCAAAAGAAGCGAGTATTAGCAGAACGAAGCAGATTCGTCTCGTCGACATTTTCAAACTTTCTTCGCTAAAGACGTGACCGAGAATGAAGGTGAAACTGGTGTGTGGAAGTAGAGCGGTGAACGAGTTTGCAGGTTTTGGTTCGAGTTTGCTTTTGAACGACGTAAGGGCTTTCTAAACAAATACATTTTTAAAAAATACAAAGAGCGTGACTGCAGTAACTGAAAAGAATGAATTTTTAATTGTGCTAAGATAAATCTAAGGACACTTCAAATGTCTAAATCCATCAAGCCGTTTGGTCTGTATATAGCCCGTGAAATTCCAACGTTTTGTATCCTCCGTTTTGATTTTACGAAATTTCCTTATACCCAGTGTCATTTGGGTGGTCAAGACAAATACAGAATAAAATGAGTCATGGATGGAACATCTACTTGACAAATCTGGAGGAAAGACATGCAAGCGTAGTCCAAAAAAAATTTATCAAGAAATAGATGCGTCGGCTGTCTGTTCTTCGATAACCGAAATCATCCACGTCGGAATGGAGAAATACATCCCTCACACAGTGAAAGTGCCTAGACCAGGATCCAACGGCTGGTTTAACAAATCGTGTGACGCTGCTCGCCAGCAGAAGATCAAGGCACACAGAACCTTCTTACAAAACCCCACTGTAGAGAACAGACAAGCCGACGTTGAATCCAGAAACAAATATGTATATAGAAGCGATTCGCAATGCCAAAAACCAGCAGGATATAAAAGTTAGGCACAGGGTAATGTCGCAGCGCAATGGCAGTCGGTCTTTCTGGACGCTGGCCAAGCAGATTGAAAAGAACCTCTCACACAGAAGCCTTCCACCAGTTACGTGTCAGGATGGAACTATTGTATTCAACTCAAAGGCCAAGGCGGAAGTGCTAGCCAAGATCTTTGCTGCCAACTCCACCCCAACGCCCAAGTGCCGTCACTTCAAAGAGTTACCTACACTATGCGACAGGTAACATTCAGGCATGAGACCGTAAGACGAGTGCTCTTGTCGCTCGACATCAACAAAGCTTCTGGTCCGGACTTGATTCCTGCCATTGTACTGAAGAGGTGTACAGCGGAGCTTGCTCCAGTTCTTTCGCGTCTCTTCCAGATATCTTATGAATCCGGCACCTTCCCAGAAAATTGGAAATTTGCTCATGTCCAACCCATCCCAAAAAAGGAATCTAAGGCCGACTCTTACAACTACAGGCCTATAGCTCTGCTTTTTGTTTTAAGTAAGGTGATGGAGAGGTGCATAAATCGCGAGCTTCTGGACTACCTCGAACGTCACAGCTTGATTAGCGACAGGCAGTATGGTTTCCGGTACCAATGACCCACAGGGGACCTCCTATCTTACGTCATTCAATTGTGAAGTAAACTCATCCAGTCTTATGGAGAGGCTCATGTCGTTGCTCTTGACATCACGCAAGCGTTCGATCAGCTGTGGCACCCTGCCCTCTTAAGCAAACTTCCATCCTATGGCCTCCCCGAAAAGCTTTGCAGATGGGTGGCTGACTTTACCTCTGGCCGCAAGATATCCGTCGTAATTGACGGGTTCTCCTCTTCATCCCACAACGTCAACGGGGGTGTTCCCCAGGGATCGACCTTATCTCCGACACTGTTTCTCTTACATATCAACGACCTCCTTTCCTGTACGATCAACCCAAACCACAGTTTCGGTAATGACAGCACTCTACATGCAGGAATTCAGAGTGACGGCCGATCTCTGCCGCTGAGTTGGAAAAAAGAAGACTAGCGATGACTTCCTCTCTGACAAGAGACCTGGAGGCTACCACTGCTTGGGGATGAAACAATCTTGTACAGTTCAATGCTTCCAAAACACAGTACTGTACTTTGACGAACAAAGAGCGGCCCAGCGCTCATACAGTTTCGATGGACGGCCGAGTTCTACCAATGAGCCATTCATTTCGGCTGGTCGGAGTCCAGATCACCGAGGACCTGATCTGGCACGAACACATCTCGTCAATAGCTGCAGCCGCTGGGAAAAAGCTCGGCTATTTGTTTAGGGTTAAGAAGTACTTTTCTCCGCATGACCTTCTCACTCTATACAAGGCCCAGATAAGGCCTAGCCTCGAGTATTGCTCATATGTTTGGGGTGCTGCCGCCACGACTACATTATCCATGCTCGATGCTGTCCAGAGGACGACTGATCGATGACTCTTCTCTAACAGACAGTCTCGGGACTCTTTCGCATCGGCGGGCTGTCGGCGATCTAGCTCTTTTCTACCGTTACACCAACGGGCTTTGCTCCTCAGAGCTCTCTTCCATAATGCCGGCGCGCGATGTGCCTGCCAGACAGACCCGCCTGACTTTGGCGTCCCATCCTAACCGCGTGTCGAACTTCGTACTTCCAGAACTGGCCGATACGACCGCTCCTTTGTTCCGAGACTGTCGAGATTATGGAATAATCTACAAGAAGAAGCTTTTTCCAATTCTATTAACCTTAGGCAGTTCAAGAATCGTATTAACAAAATTTCTTTGGGATCATCATAGCAGCCGCGGTGTTCCGGCATTTAGACTTCTGCTTGCGCGGCTGCTTCGATATAAAAAAAAAAGATTTACAGTGAGCCTCATGACAGAGCCGCAACCATTAGGGAACTGAACCCCCCACTACCCCATCGTATTTAAAAAATATCTCTGTGGATGTAAAATTTTCCTATTCTAATGTGAAGCCCTTCTTTCTGTGCATATGCAAAAGTTATCAAAAAACTCGGCGAAAATGTTTTGTAATTGCGTTATAGACACTGTTAATATTTTGGAATCACATAGGCCACTAAAATAACAACAATCATTTTTTAACGAATGAAGATTCTGTATCCGAGAAGTGACAAATACGCCTGAACGTTGGTCTATCACCATTCAACGGTCAGATACCATTCCAAAATGACTGCTGTCTAAATTTTGGATAAATTTGTGGGGTTATGATCTACTTTCAAAAAATGGTGGTAGTACCCCAATTTTTTCACCGATAAAAAGTAATGAAGAGGCCGAGGAAATAAGGATATTAGAAAAAGAACATAATATATCTGAGGAAACATATTTCTTTCGGTTGATCTTACAATGTTCAAGAATAAATTTTATCTAATGTTGAAAGGAACAATGCGTAAAAGATATAACAAATCTCAACTAAAATAACAGTTTTCCGTCAGTCAATTACTGACAATTATAACTTTCTAATGAAAATTTCGAACTCATCATCATGTTCTTGACTCTAAAACTGTTGGGTATTTGATTATCATAAAGTTCCTTGGTTACATCGGCTACCGTCGACCAGTCACAAAATTCTGGAATAGAAAAAGTCAGTGAAGTACTATAATACGATATAAAATCAATACCGAATTATTTTATATGGTTATAAGAAATTAGTAGAATCTGACTATAAGAAGTTAGAAAAATTCAAGTTATAGGGTGTGGTGTACCTTGCATAGTGGTGCTGATAAATGCTTGGCTGTTTGAAAAAGTATCATTCAACCAAATCATCTTCTCTACTTCTCTAGATTCGTTGAACATTTGGTGCGCTATGAGCTCAAAAGCTACTTTGTCCACTTCCACGACATTCTCTTGCAAGTTCAAAGAACGCTGAAACAACATCTTTCTTACAAAAGAATTTGATCACGCTTTCCAAAAACATTCAGATGCTAAGTCACATTAAAGTGGTATGAATATACACTGAGAACCAAATTTGAGGGCTTTAGTTTAATGTGTACGAGAGAGAAGTGTTTTATTTTGAGCGTACACATTTTTGTCGAATCAGTTCTAAAAAGCGACACTTAAATCAACATCATCGGCATTACAGTGTTAAATATACTAAGTGACATATAAATCCGAACACCCAGTTTAAATGGTTTTATTTTAATAAAATTTTATATAAGTACTTAATGAAGCATAATAAGTAAATGATAAAAATTTCAAAATGATTGCCCTTTGACCTTTAATAATGTGTGGATGCACCCTGATGTGCTACGCATTCTCCAACGTCCCTAGGCATGCTTCTGATCAGGTGGTCAATGTCCTCCTGTGGTATCTCATTCCAGGCAACCACCAACTCCTCTCGAAGTTCTTCTACAGTCTGAGGAGGACGTTGCAAATTGAGCAATCTCCTACCCATCATTTCCCACACGTGCTCAATTGGGGATAAGTCGGGAGATCTTGGTGGCCATGTGACATCATTATGTTGAAAGAAGTCTATTGTGACTCTTGCAACATGTGGTCGGGCATTATCTTGTTGGAAAGTTGGATCTGCCAGGGTGTCAAGATAGGGTAAAAGATGGGGTTCTAGAACTTCGTGGATATAACGCTGAGCGTTCATGTTACCTCTGATGAAGATTAAAGGTGACCTAGAACCATAAGCTAAAAAACTGTGGATTCCTCCTTTCACCACGTCGCCTTCTAACCCTGGCACGACCATCGTGCATGCCTAAACAATATCGAGACTCGTCACTAAAGACAATACTGTTCCATTCCTGATCCCAGAGTGACCGTTGTCTGCACCACTCAAGGCGATTACGTCGGTGTTCTCGAGTTAAAGGGAGGACCCAGTGTGTGCGCGGTATGAAAACAAGCCAAAACTTCTCATTCGTCGGTAAACACTTCGCATGCTAATAGGTCTTCCGTGTTCTGCAAACCATTCATTTGCAATGGACCTGGTAGTGGAGAAACGGTCCCTTAAGGCCAATAATCTTAGGCGGCGATCTTCACGGTCTGTTGTTCTACGGCGGCATCCAGTGCCCCTTGTTCTTTGCGTACGGCCTTCTCGAAGCCATGCCTGACAACACCTAACCACACTGCCTACACTTCTCTGCACTCTAACTGCAATTGCCCGAAAATAAAGTCCAGCTTCCCGAAGTCCCACTATACGGCACCTATCAAACTCACTAAGTTGACGAAATCGTACAGGTCTCCGTACTCTAGGCATCGTAACCGATCGTAAAGGATGTCAAGAACCAAAATCCGCCAACGTTGATTCTTTACTGCGGCTGAAATATTCATTTTTAGAGCGTTAGTGAATTAAAAAAAAGCAGTATAAAAACCGGAATGTCCAACTGATAAGGCTGAAAATTTTTTCAATTGTTATTTACAGTAAGATAAATACATTCACCAACTTTTATTAAAATAAAACCATTTAAACTGGGTGTTCGGATTTATATCTCACTTAGTATATTTAATTAAAAATGAGTACAGATATTTTCATGAATTAAATACTAGTTAACGGTATTATATTAACGTAAATAATCGACATATAGTACAAAAAAATCTTCCTTTTTCCTTATTCGCTGAAGCTTGAAACATCTGCGGCTGCTACACCGAAAATCCTAAACAAGCACGAAACAACATTGTAAATGGTTGGTCATGGTCGCAGAGGCGGAAAGCAAATACACTGTTCAACCAGGTGGCTTTCTGCATTTCTAGCATAGGGGCCTCAGATGTATCAAGCTTTGGCGAATTATTTGTAGATATCACTTGTGGCCACTTTGCGATTTATAATTAGTCTACCGTTCTACTGCTACCTGTTCAATTTTTCCAAAAAACATTTAACCTTACCGCTATTATTGAAAATACTCACGATTATATACTCATCACGCTCAAAAAGATATCGATACTCGTCAGGTTTATTTGTTTTCAATCTTTGTTTGTCCACGTTTACATATAGTTTTGCAAGGGCTTCAGTTAAGATGAATCCTAACTTTGATAAGTAGATCGGGCGAGGCAAAGGTTCCAGTTCCCGCGCTCTATACAAGAAGCCGGGCTGAAAGACTGTAAAACGTGAAAAGTTGTTTTCAAAAAAATATAAATATAACCATATATTAACGTATTCTCCAAATATGAGATTAAGGAATTACAATGTTTGCAAACATACTATAACAGTGAAACTTTGATTAGATACTGACCAATAGTTTTGTATTGATGAAATGTATGTAGGCCACTGTCAAATGGATTCACGTAGTATTTAAGCCTACAAAAAAAAAGAAAATTAAAATATTTGGAATGAAAAAATGATTTTATACTCACAAAAATTCATCTGACAGTTTTTCACCTGCTATCCGAAACATCAACTTTCTTTTGTGCTTTAGCAATGCCATGATGGTACCATAAAAAGTGTTTTCTACTTTTAGATGATCGTAGTTTTGTTTTAGTGCCATCTTCTTATATGGCATTAGCTTCACCGTATCCAACTCATCTTCAAATAGATTGTAAGATTTCCTTCCTACGTTAATCTTCAACAATAACTTTGAAGATACCTTATGCAGGTTATCGAACAGCGTTTTTACAGTTGATAGGGAATCTTTGTACATCGATTCATCAACCACTTGTTGCAGTATAATGGTAGTTACTTCAGGCATGAGCTCAGTGACGAGTTCTAGGCAAGATCTTGCATTATTTCTGTTAATTATTTGTGCCATATTACTGTATGCTTGAATGCGATACCATAATCTCAAAATGTCAATTATTTTCCTAAAAAAAAAATAATATCACCATAGCCCTTGTATGAAAGACAGTAACTGTTTTATAGTCAAAGGTACGATCTTAGGCGTAAGCATCGGATTGAATATTCTCTTTATTGCTTTACTGATTAAAAGTTTCAGGCATAAAGCTTAACATCCCACTTACCGTTTATTGCTCTTGACCTCACTTATTACCATTTTCACTTCCTTCGGATAGTATATTCTAATCAAGATAGTTTCATTATATGGTATTCCCATCATCGAAAACAAATGACGCCAATCTACTCCCAAGTTATAGTCTTTACTATCACAGAAGTCTTCCATAGTCATATTGACAAAATTATTTTCTGAATCTTCATGAGTCTCAAAGAAATATTTCTTAAATGTAACATTACTATTTAGTTGCCAGTTATTTCAAGAAATAAAAAACAAACACACACAACGGTTGATTTTATCCGTTCTAGCCCTATTTTGATGTGGAGAAGTTAATCCTTCATCTGCTTCCATTTTTATTGTTTTCAAAAATATGCACTTCATTGCATTCGTTTTGCTATTATAGTTTTTTAAGGTTCACTACAAATAGTGCTTTACCTACCTCTATCCATCGATCATATACTTTTAGGATTATGGTTTGAAGATCCCGCGTGCTACTTTGATCGATCGTTGCAACATACTTTTGGATGTAGGATAATAGTTTTTTCTTGCAACACTCTTTAGATTTATTTTTGATCACTTTCATATCGATGGTTGCGTTTAGTGTTTGGGTAATCTCATTCATACAGCTGCTCCTTATGTGGTCTAACAAAGACCATCTGAATGTAGACTGCGATGTTTGGAGTTTCAATGATGGAGGCGATATCTACAAAAGCTTCTATACCTCAGAATCTTGAAATCTAAATTATACAACTCCTGTACCTGGATTTGGAACAAATTTCCTATTGGATCTACATTCATGTCAAACAGAGGTAGAGACTTTGTCAGCAGCAACTCACCAATAGCGTCTTTGTAATCTTTTGGAAACGTATCATCATCTAAAAAGTATGTAATGTTCTGCTATAAAAGAAAATTTTTCGGTCGAAATTTTCCGCGATTCTTGTTATGCGTGATTTATCAAAATTATAAAACTTTGTCAGTACTAGACTTTGAAATTGAATCCTCATACCTTCGATAGAGGCTAGTTTGATCTGCTTTTGATCGTCCCATCTTAATGATTCCTATTAAGGATCAAACTGTACAGTACACTGTTGGGTGGACGGAAGAGAGCAGTATCAACTTATTAAATTGAACTAACTCACCTATTTTCACTTGTTCAAATACATTCATTGAACTGATCTTGTTGCACATGTCGAAAGTCTTGCCAAACACTTGAAAATATGTCGCTGAGTTTTCATCAATTTTTTCAATAAAACTAATTATATGCTTGAAGACGATACTTAGGAAATCCCATTTTTTGACTTTTCCTCCATCGCAGAAGTAAGCATAAGGATTTTTACACACATCAGCATCAAAATTAATTTGGTAAAGGGCCTTGGATGCAGCTCTTTTGCAGATGTGACTATCGCATATATCACCGTCCAACTTGTTGAATGATTCTAGAAGCGTTTGTTAAACTTTAAATCTAGTAGCGCCTCACCAATACACCTATAATATACTTGTATGTCCAAAAGGGAGCCTGCTCCTACACATAGGTACTTCAAAAAAAGTTTTAAAATTCACTTAAAACAAATCAAGTAAAAGCTTGTCTTATTCATAAGTAACTTCGATGTAAATTTCTTGCTTCGTGACTGTTAATGTGAGAAGCAGCGGAATCAAGATCATTCTGCAGAAACAGTCATTGTGAGAAATAGAATATAAATTAAACATACCTAAATCAAGTTTTCTGTCATTATTTGATAAAGTAGTCTGAGTAATCGCAACGTCTCTAACGTCTGGGGTGCTTACTTTGGTCTGATTTTTATCTTCCAAACTTGCGGTTAATGGCAACAACGACCCTGTTACACTCAGTAGTTCAACAATACTCGAAAATGTGATTTTGCTTTCGCGATATGGTGATGTGGTTACGTTCTGTGGTGTAATAAAAGTTGTATTTTCCTCCGTGGGTTCTCTGATTATTGGTTGAGCTAAAAAGCATGATTGTGCTATTATATAGATAAACTGTATATGGTTGTAATTAAAAAAAGACAACGCATCCGGTCGCCTATATTTAGCCGAAGCCAGAGAATGCTAACTCTGAAAGCTTTTAAAGTACACACTCTCAATAATGACTACATACTCGGACACAAAATTAATTATAATTTTATTAATGGTTACCTTTCGTTCTAGTTCTGGTGTAAGTATCACTCAGTTTTTCCTCGGATCCAAAGATAGTTGTAGTCATAGAGATATTCTGTAATTCATTTGAAGCTCCAGACTGCACAAACATCTTCGATCTACTTATACTAGAACTTGGTACTACTGGGGATGTTTTTTCAAAAAAAACTGGTGTTTCGGCAGTGAAAAATTTGCTGGACGAGCTGTTAGCAGATTTTGTTAATTCTGGAAATTCTCTTGATCGATTTGAAGGATGAGGTGTGTCTGAATTAATTTCGTCCAAAACATTCTGTTTTTCAGTATGTATGCCTTGATAATCCGGGGTACTGGAAAACTTATCAGGCATATTATTTGATGAGTGATTGTACAGCTTCATTTTAGTAAAGCCAATCTCTGTTGAATATTTCTCATCCAAACCATTTATTGTTTTCATGTCATCCTCCAGACGTGGTGTGGTTGTCGATATAAAAGATGTAGCAGGAACACCCTTTACCATCTGAATCCAGCCTTTGGAATCCGTTAGTAGTTTTGGGTAAGTTATAGAAGCACCTGGATAAGTCTCGTGTAAAACTTTTGATTTTTCCGTACTCCGATCCAAATTTTGTTGTATGGATGTTGGCGTGGAAGGAGACTCAGGCACATCCTTCAATTTCTGTATCCATTCTGTTGAATCGCCTGCTAGCTTTGAGTAAATTGTAGCGGAACTTTCATACATCTCAACATTTGACTTTTCTATGCCTTCCTCCAGGTATTTTTTTGTGGTTGTTTGTATGAAATGTGTACCAGGTGCGCCATTGAGTGCTTGAATACATTTCGTTGAATCCGAAACTATCGTTGAGTAAGAACCTGAATCCGTACCGTACAAAATGTTTGATTTTTCTGTACTATATTCCAGATTATGTTGTATGATCGTACCATGTATGCTGTCCAAGGCTTGAATCGTTTCTGTTGAATTTGTAACCAGCGGTGATTGAGTTGCTGTAAAACTTGATTCATTTGAGTCTATCTCACCCAGAGAGCTTTGCTTCATCGCAGAAGTGTCCTGATCTTGGACTATTGTGGCAAGAGCGTCATTTGATGACACTGTTGAATCGGTTACTATTGTGCTTTGTTGCGATGGAGAAGCAAGCGAAGGTGTATATTCGTCTGAAGTTTCACTAGTGTAGTTAGGATGCCGCGTGGTTGCGTTATCCGATTCGAACATGTTCGTAGGTTCAAATTCAGATCTCCCGTGAAGAGGTTGCAGGTAATCAGTGAAACGTTTAATTACAGGCGTAGAAAAATCTGGCTTATTTGTGTGGTTTTCGTCCAAATTTTTTTCTAGGATATCTGCAAAAGTTTTTGAGTGCCTTCTTTACATAAATGACTATGAGCCGCAGAGGTACGGAGTTCCGAGGCGGAATATCCCAAGAACATTAGCATTTTCTGCTAAAGTACGCCAGCTGCGCTTTTTCAGCAGTACGTATCTAATATCTTGGCTATTCTGAATTGTACCTATGTGGCTATTCTACAAAGATGGGTGAATATCATGATAAAATTATTAAAAATTCGCTGATGTCTTATTCATGGTAGAACGTAGAACTCATCCTTACTTTTTGAAAAACTTATAAATTATTGACTGTAAAAACTGACAGTGCAGCTTTTATTAATTGGTTAAAAATTATCAAGCAATAGAATAGAATGAAATAGAATACTTAAGCTCAAGGTAGATACTGTAAATATTTTTTCCAAAATCTTTTACACTGTTTTACCTCCAGAATATGTTACATTTGATTCAGCTGCAACACTTTTTGTGCTTGTTTTATTTAATCTTACAGTCTCATGTGTTGCATGAGCGATTATGGAATCAGTCGCAGAAGTCTGGGCATTTCTATCCTGAGAACAAATAATTAAATAGTAAAATAGGTAACTTCTTTAAAATTAAGTAATCTTCAGGCTTATCAAAAAATGGTGAAGGAAATTTCAAAGCAGGACGTAGTCAAGAAACGTTTCGGATGCCACAAAATTTACTAAGCGGCATTTTGGCAGGATTTTCAAGACGGATATGTATTATGCTATATTTAAGCAATTTTGATGGAACCCTTAAGGCTTACTCTCTAAATACATACTAGCTTAGTGAATACGTACTTACCACAATACGATTCTGCATTTTCTTCAGATTTCCAGTATAATACACTAAAATTGAGTATATTGTCAGTAGAACCAACAAAAATATTGCAAGCGAGCAAATAAAATACGTGAAAGACCTGTCTTTGTCTTTTGCCTCATTCTTAACATAATAAGTCCCGTGTTTACTCATTATTGTAGAATTCTGTATTACAACAATCTTAATACATTAGATTTTTGGTTTTGTTATCGCATTAACGTTGCGCGAATGAGGAAGGAAATAAATGTTTTGGGGTAAACCTTAGTTGATATATTTGTTATCGGCATTTTGCAAGGTTATCGTGCGTTTTTCATTTTCCAAGCAACACATGCCTTGCATATAGCCGATTCGGTTTTAGAATGAATAACACTGGTGAACAAAATTAAAATAATTTTTTGTGATATGAACAAAACAAGGTGGTTATTACGTAAAACGTACCCAAAACGCCGGAAATAGCATTCGATTTTTTCTATCACCCACGGTTTTCTTGCAATAAGGGATTTTATAAATATAAGGATATGTGTGTAAGAGCACTAATAAACACTCGAATAAACATTAATCTCAGAATGTTGCTGTCGATGTTTTATGGCGATATGTTGCTCCTGAAATATGTCTTAACAATGTCCAGCAATAATCAGCAAGCAAATTGACACTCCATTTGCCTTGATACCGTTTTTCCATAGCAGAAATGTCTTGATGAAACCGTTCACCATGTTCATCACTTACCGCACCTAAATTTTCCGGAAAAAAAACCGAGATGAGAATCCAAAAAGTGAATTTTTAAAGACATGTTACATCCCATTCCTTTATAAGCACTAATTAGTTCACTCACAATATCTTTATAATTGTCCGCCTTCACATTGCCTAAAAAATTTCCAGCAACTGATTTAAAAGCATTCCAAGCTCGTAATTCAGTTTCATTTAGAGCACTGTCAAATACATCATCATTCATGATTTTCCATATTTGTGGACCCACAAATATTCCCTCTTTAATGTTTGCCTCACTAGGTCTCGGAAATGTTTGTTTTAAATGCAGAAACCCTCTTCCATTTCGATCCATAGCTTTCATAAAATTTTTCACCAGTCCCAACTTAATATGCAAAGGTGGAAGCAACACGTTTTTGGAATCGACTAGTGGTTCATGAGCAATGTTTTTTAGACCCAAAGTTGATACCTGACGTAATGGCAGCTTTCTCCTGTCAACAAAACACAGCCCTTTTTGGTGCAGGCCACCGTATCATGTTACTATATTGGAGATTTCTGGCGGTTGAGAGTAATTCTACTGCCTTTTTGTCACCAAACATTTGTGCCCATATTTTGATCGCTACAAAAGAAGTTTGAATAGACGTCTATGTACTTTTTTATGTGAATGCACCTGGAGAATTTGTAATTTGTATTTCAGTAACATATTACGGACACTTAGTCTCGTCGTTTGTTATTTGAGCGGCCCGCAGGCTCTTGTCTGGCAGAATGGACATTTAGTGGTATATGAGGTCTCAGGCTATCAGCTCCTGCTAACGAAGCCTTTTGTATAAAATTATGGCACATTCTGTAGACGATATGCAAGACCACCAGTCCCTTCACAATCTCAACACAGACCTGTCAAGCAGTGACCTCAAACCTGTCAAATCAACCGACATGCGTGAAATTCCTCACGGTGATCATGTGAAGAGGGGCAACCAGTAGGCTTTCAATCATGGATTACAGCTACAAATTACAGCACAACATCGCATTTACCACGGCCGACCAGCGGCACGCTTTGGACACTGGTGACGAACTGGAAACAGACGACGAAACCCACAATCAATCCAAGTCATCCAGCCCCATAAGGTCTGCAGGGGACATGGCACAGAGTGTGTCCTCCATCAGCACTAGCATCTTGGATGATGGAGAGGAGATAAAAGCACTCAAGGACAAGCTGGTCAACACGGAGCTCAAGTACAAGGTGTTGGAGTGTGAGATGGAGAAAACCAATACAAGGTAATTTACAGTAATATTGAACGCACCGTAGGGTAGATTATATTAAATTACTGCTGGGGATTAAAACACAAACCTACTGTAGAAAATGCACTATGGCATTCCTTTTTAATCTAAGCTAATGCTGTTTAAATATGCATGCATCCAATACTTTCACAACATTTTGCTTCTCTGTAAACTTTTTCTTGCACCACTCTTTGACTGCCTTATGATCTAGCAATATCACCTTTTTGTTCTGGACTATCTACCTTATCATTTTTTTATGTTTTAGTGCACACAGTAAAATTTGAATTCCCAATGCTAAACAGAGAGGTGTTGTAAGCTTAACGTGTGTATCTGTTTATTTGTGTACCTATCTGTAGGACTGTCAGCAACCTCGTAGCTTCCCAATGGAAGAACCGACTTGAGCAGGTTTTTCAATAGGAAGTCTCGTCTACTATGCTGCTATGATTGACGAAAATATCAGATGAAAAGGCTTAGTTTGTGATTACTAATAAAAAACGGTCAAGTATTTTTCTGTATGATTTTTGCTAGATCGGGGTATTTAATGTTGTTTCGCTAATAAAGAGTATCAATGCAAGAGCCACTTTAATGGCGGGCGGTGTTTTAACTTGTCTAGAAAACAACTCGTTACCTCGTTTTTGATGCTACGCTGTGTTATTATAGTTCCTACATTCGTGGGACGCGGGATCATTTCCTTTACTTTGGGGCCCTTTGAAACCGCATTGTGAAGCCTTCATCATGTACGTCATCTTGTACCCGCTTCTGATAACAGCCGCGGTTGTTTGAGATTTTATGAGAAATTGTCCCCCTTTATTACATAATATCTGTTTTAGAGTACTATGGACCTATTTGCCTGCCTAGTTTCCTTCACCAGAACCCCTTAGGTTCAACAACCCAGAAGATAATATATTTACGTCTCGATATCTGTTAATGGCTGGCCTAAAATCAAAGCAACTACAGAAGCCCCAAAATGTTATGATTTTGTCTATTCTTCACCTTAGTAAAATATATTTTAATTTCCTGGTTTCAGCCTCATGAATGAAAAGGCGAAAAACGCGAAATTAGAAAAGAAACTGCAATTTGTCAAAGATAACCAAGAAGTATTTATGCGTTTAAAAGAAGCATATATCAACATGAAGTATAACGAGGCTGCTGGTAGAAAGATGATAGAGATAAGAGAAAAGGGGATTCAAACATGGGAAGGTATTCTGTGTAGGTCTTGTATTGAGACAGAGCAAGTGAGAAGGCAGATACAGCGTGTGAAGGATGAATATAAAGACTCACTCATACTGACATCGTAAGTCGATTGCAGTAAATTGTTTCATGCTTTTGGCGTAACTGATTTTGGTCTAAATCGAAATATTTCAGACCTGAGATGGCACAAATGACAAATACAGTAAACTACCTGAAGGATTTAATTGAACGAAGGGAGAAGTCTTGGGGTTTGAACATGGAAAGGGATGAAAAGATGCGCACCTCGCTCGCCTTGCTTCAGGATGAAAACTTGACTTTGAGGAAGTTGATCCAAGAAAGACCTGCCAGTACGACCACAACCAACGCCATGGAAGATAAGCCTCCTGACGAACAAATCACCGTTGCAGCTCTCAGTGACCCTCAGCTGTATGAACTGATTCAACTAAAGAAAATTATAATCAAGTTCGAGAAGAGGTTCAGGTGCGATTGAATAGTCAAATGATTGTCATCAATTTGTAAGCCTGTCACCAAAAAAAAAAAACAGACAATGCTAAGGAAAAAGGGAAGAGGAAAAGAATGGCAGGAAGCGAGAAAGTAAAGAGGAAGAAGGGAATATGTTAGGATAGGAAGTGGTTAGACATTGTTAAAATCATTCGACAAATTTTGTAACCATTCTAAAAGACTCATTTTTCTCAAGGTTTTATCAAAATCCTCTAAATTTGATTGTCTAAATTCACAAATTAATTTTGATACGTTTGAGTAATAACAGAACCGGAATGATGCAAACGAAATGTCACCGTACGTTACTATTAGAGACATTCAAATAAGATCATAAGCACTTTCGACACGTTGGTTCAATACTCTTTTACTGATACTTTTTCGTGGTTAACAATGTTGACATAGATGCGACACTCATATTTATGAAAAAAATCTGCAACTGCCACTTTCATTTTAAATTGTTGAAAATTTTGTTCCAGGGAATTGCAACAAGCTAATCCAGAAATGTCCAAATTGACTCCTGCCTTCAATGAAAAGGAGCTGAAGCTTATCAGTCAACTGATGACCAGGTAAAATATTGTATCTGATCATCATTCCTAATGTAACTGCCGCATTGTAACTGCAGCTACTAAAGCTTATCATGTGGTTGTCTCTGTGGTCGGTCTCCCTATAAAAAGGAATGACATTTTTATTAATTTGTATTGTACCCAGGAAATGACTACCGTAGTGTCGTCAGTAAAAAGTAATCTATACTGCAACGCCTTCGTATAACTCGAACTCGGGGAGACAGGAGATACCCTCATCGGCCAGGTGATTCAACAGGTGTCCAGAAGCAGCGACGCTTAGGCAACCAGAATTACGCGGATGTGCGTGAGCGTTTGCGGTCCCATTGAGGAGCTTCGAGTTCACGTTCGAGAGCGTTGGGCGTCATCGATCGATCACTTCTATGAAGGTTCGCGACTCGGTCCGGAAATCGCGTATTTCTCGACTTGTCGATAGGGGAATAAATATAGGCCTAGAATAGTCCAGTCCACATAGCAATAAATTTGTCATAAATCAGTTGCAAGTTACAATAAATATGGGTTTTTATTATTTGGCCAGAAAATTATAGTGTCAGCAAGATAGCCACAGAATAAGTGTTTCATATACAGGGTACGGCAGAGAGGACGGACGTTTTTGGGATGGGTAGTACTCTCCGCCTCCGTCTACGAGAGAGGTGGGGAGGATGCCGTTTGACTCTTGAGATCCTAGCATTATTTTACCAGTTGTTATGGAGCCTTGGACGGTGGAGCACCGCGTTTTCGCCTATTATTGTTTCGTCCGAAATAATGAGTCAGTCGTCGTCGTACAGCGTGAGTTTCGTCGCCACTTCAACATTAATCGGAATAGAGCTGTTCCCTCTCGAAACACCATCCTTCGTTGGGTTGAATCACTTCGCAGGCGTGGTGAACTGATCAACAGAAGACCAAGAGGAGCGCCGCGAACAGTTCGAACTCCTGAAAATGTTGAACGCGTTCGACAGGTCTTTCTTCGCAGTCCGACTCGATCTGCCCGGAAACATGCTGCTGCACTTCGCCTTAGTGATCGTTGGGTAAGGTGAATTTTGCATATGGATCTCCGCTTTCACCCCTACAAATTGGCCATTGTGCAACAGTTACAGCCCGGAGATTATGAACAACGAATGAACTTCGCACGTGAGATGGAAGCACTGATCGATCAAAATGAGAACCTCATTTTGTTTATGAGTGACGAAGCCCACTTTCACCTAAACAGCATGGTTAACCAGCAGAATTGTCCTTATTGGGCTAATGAAAATCCGCAACAGTTACACGAAAGACCGCTGCACAGCCCAAAAGTAACGGTTTGGTGCGCTGTATCGCAAACTTGCATCATTGGCCCTTACTTCTTCGAAGACGGTAATGGTCATGACGTTACCGTGAACTCAGCGCGCTACGTCGACATGATCACCAACTTCTTTCTCCCTGAATTACGACGGCGACGTGTTCCAATCCGACGTGTGTGGTTCCAGCAGGATGGGGCGACCGCCCACACAGCCCGAGCATCCATGGACGTTATTCGCCCTCTCTTCCCTGGTCGCCTTATTTCTAGGTCCATCAAAAATAAAATGACGTCGCAAAAATGAAAATGGTTGGAAATTTGAAAAAGGAAATATTTATTTCATTCATAGGATACTAACGGTATTATTGCTATGTGAGGTAAGCATTGCTGAATGTTTCCCTAGTACGTCTGATAAATTGTGAAAACAATGTTTGTAAACAAGGCCGTTTTCATCCCTTTCAGATATTATTCTAAAAGAAAAGCGAGATCGATGACTAGAAGCCATACTCGAGATCCAGAAGTCTGTCATAGTGTCACCAGGTTCACTAGATCCGCGAGGTCAGCCAGCAGGCGATCATCCATCAGAAGTCGGACTGAGTATGTTGAAAAAACTGAAGCAGTCCCGGACACTGCCATGTTCCTGATGGATTATCTATTCGAGAGTGATACTGCACACTGATTTATATCACCAATACAGTATTATATCAAATTTGTCGTGTAATTTTTAGTATTCGTTTACTTTTGTAGGTGGAAATTTGGAAATATATACCGAAATGTAACGTTAACTTGAATCGCAAATGCTATTGAAATTCAATCTTCTCTTGTTGACGAGTCGAATATGAATATATGAGTTAAACGCCATTTGGCTAAGCTACATATTCAAAAAACAAAAAATAACGTTTGACTTTCATTCCCAAATTATTTTTGGGTGTATTACAATACCTATCTAAAAACCCTCGTATACACTTTCTTGTTAGTACTTTATCTAGCCACCAGAGGCTCTCCTTGTTCAAATGTCGTTTTTTGCGAAGCTGTCAACAACTGTCAACCACAACATATAACATAACCTTCGATTTTTAATTGTTTTGTTTTGGCAGATTGACCCTTGATCTTGAAAGTCTGTGCAGTTTCCACGATTAAAAAAAGAGTGAAATCACTTAGAAACCTGTTCGTCTTGTGAAAACATCTGCTATTAGTACTCTTGCTACTGCGATCAGTGTATTGTATCATCTTGACAAAGTAAGTTGTTTTATTATGCTTTAAAAAATTGTGTTACACTGTACACAATACAATACATTTTTGGAGATTTTTCCAATTTTAACTGCTCATGCTCATTAATTTAATGGATCACCAAGCAACAACAGTTGTAACAAAACTTTCTTTGTCTACATAATTGATTATGAAGCATGGCATGATGCATTCATATTTGATGGGTGCACTTACTGTAAAATCCAATAAACTAACTTATTTCAATAATTTCTATAATTTCTTTCACTTCTTTAGCTCATAACTTTGTAATATAACATGGGTGATATTATTCTGTGCAACAGAAGATAAGTATCATTATATTGTTTTTATGTGATTTTAAGTAGGTATGTTGCTGCTAGTGCTGTTTTAGGAATGACCTGCTGTGACTGATTTCCAGGGTTGCTAATGCATATACGGTTTGAAAAATGACTTGAAAAGTACAAGTCGTATTAGGAAATATTTTTATTTATCTCATATACATATGCCTAATATACTAAATATAGTACCCACTACCTGCCTTACAAACTCTGACAGAATTACATATTGTGAGAAATTTGCAGCTGAACTATGCACAATTACTTAGGGAGTGTCTACCAAGCAGGTAACACTTGAGTGTTGTGCTGTATGTTAATTAATATTTTTTATGGTAAGACTAAATATAAATAGCTGAAGAAAATACAGATGCAAGATGCATGTATTTATGTCTTTACTTTGCTGAAATTAAAAAACTATGTTTATATGTAAAACCATTTTCATTGATAATTGATCCATTTTAAAGAAACTATCAGACAGAAGTTGTACAGTTTGCATATAGGCATGTATGGGTTAAAATCTTGTACAGGGTGCCCATGTAGAACAGCAGCAATGAATATGTCCTGTACATTATCAATGAACTTACCAACTTATCCTCAGTTAAAAAATTCTTGCTATGATATGCATATAACAATCCTCAGTGTCCTATATCATAAACCAACACTTAATTTAATTGATTCGAATTCAGCATTCAAATAGAATTTGCTCATTTACTATGTAGTTATATGATGGTTGTGTAGGAATATGGTAATCAGTAAGAAATATTATACTGTTAAGGAACTGATCATGCACAATCTGCTCACCTCAACTTACAAACTGGAGAGATTAAAACTTTGATTCCTAAAAAATGTCTATAAAAAATGTTTTGGTATCTATGGAGTTATCTTGTTTAAATACCTGGATTTTCAAAAGTACCACCATGTATTATGTATTTCCAAATTTCTTAAAAATCAGTGCTTTGGTTGCTAAGATTAGCTGGTGACAAAAACGTCAGTGGCATGGATTTTTGTAATCTAACATGCCACAAAATATTCAAAAAACATATTCCAACTGTAGAAATTTTCCTGATAGGACAACATGAGTACTTGTTTCATCAGATATGAGCAAAATCATGTTTACACATGTATGCATGTACCATTGTTTAGTGTTACCATGGCTACTACATACACTGGTTGTTTGAGATCAGACCAACACCTGTATCTGGACCATAGAGTTGTATGAGTATAATGGATATCATGATATCATTAGTGGAATCTGGCATTAAATTATTTTACCAATGTTGTATAAAAATCTAAATTTGAACACACAGTTGAAAAAATGCTAGAAAGAAAAAATCGTAATAGTAAATATTTAGGTATTATGACAAAAATATTCCATCAAATTATAAAAAAGAATTGCTTGTGCCAAAAATGCAATAGAAAAGTCCATAGACTCATTTTCAATATGCCTGAGTGTGTGGGATTATTTCCCCCACATCTTGTCTCTCATTTAACTTATTTTTTCAGAAGCAGAATGATATAAAAATATCATATCACATAGATTGATAACAGACAGCAGAGGTGCTATGCTGTTTGTAACCTTGCAGTATCATCAATATTTAAACGGGTGAGTGCATTATCATTGAATTTTTTGTTATCTGCCTCTCATCCTACTTGATACAATATATAGCCTTCAATTCATAGGATCAATAGTCTGCAATTATTGTATTACTTTTATATGTTTGACACTTAGGGTTTGAAAGTTTCTGAGCAAATTACGTTTTTTTTATGTTTTGTCTAATGATTTTGGAAAAAACTTTTATGGTTTCCTTTAACCACAATTTTATTTACAACATACATTCGTGTGCTTTCCCCTCATCTTCAACATGACGCATGGCAGAGTGAGTAAACGTGAAGCAGATATAGATGCACGCCTCTCCCCATGTTATACTGACAAGATTCGATAGCGAATTTTGATTGATCTACCAAAAAACGCAAAAACACAAGTTAAAAGAAAAGCCGCATGTAAAGTTGAAGAAAAAAGATTAAGTCTGAATAATTTCTGCTGCTGCATATTGAGCACAATCAGTTGATTTTCATTTTATACTTAAGTAACACTGACATAAAACGCCATACCTCGTCAGGGATATAATGGATGAGGACATACACTGTGCTTAAATTACTGTTAGGGTTCATTTTTTCCTGTTTAATCCAATCTGATTTTGAGGCATTATTTCTGTTTATAAAATGTACAATTTGAGCGTTAAAACTGATTTTTTACTTCCCAGGCCCACTGGGATGGGAGTATTGAAGTCGAAAAAAATTTCGAAAATGAGATATGTTTTTTGGATGTTATATGACATGTATCTGGCCGTCGGTCTGCGTCAGCTAGTCCTGACAAGTCTATAACTTGGAAAGTACTGCTCGAATTTGGATGAAATTTTTACACATTGTTACTACTATGTCAAGGACGAAAAAGCTTTGTAGTCTTTGGAAATCGGTCCAGTGGCAGCGGAGAAAAATTCCAAAAATAAGTATCATAAAAATTAGTCAAACTTCTTTTTTGGCGTCTTAGCGGATCCTGAACAGTTTTGAATAAATGTTTAGGGTTAAAAAGATTTTGATTGGGGGTTTGTAGGATAATGGGGAGGCTGTATTGCAGTTTTTTGATGTTAGTATAATATAATACACTTTCAACTCCGTTAATTCTAAGCACCTATTAAACATATTTGCCCTTAAAACAGAAAAATATTTTCAGCTGACGGACCGCGTACCTATCGGTCGCACTTGCGTTATGCCAAGGGGTTGTAAATGTTGCTTCTTCGGGGGTTATTCCGAGGGACTGATAAAAGCAGGTAGCAGAGGGCGCGGTGATGCGATATCCACATGGGAAGTGGTCGCTATATTAACATATAGGTTGTTTGTAGTGTAATTTAATGAGGTTACTTGATTTCGTGAGGTATCAAACATTGCTGACAAACAGTTTTACGCCAGAGCTTCAATGGAATGAGGCTACCGCGTACGGACATGCTCATTGGTGCAATCCGAACGATTTTTTCTCATGAACAGCCGAAATAGTGCAGTAACGTTTCATGACAAAATCTTCGTCTTTTTGATGTCATTGCACTACATGTAAGATTGTACTATAAGTTGTTTTGTAGGCATGCGAAGTATAGAGTCAATTTACGTAACGTTATTTTTGTGAAATTGTAAATATACTTAGAAATTGTCGGTTTTTTAAGACTCGATAGAACTTTTAAAATTAATGCATAAAGTCTATATAAACATGGGTCGAAAAATGCGTGGCTTCCGAAATACAGGGTGTTTAAATTTACTTTCTAAACTAGTTTTTTTTTAAATATTTCGAACAATATTTGATGTATAACAGTGAAAATTGGTATACAAGGGTTTTTTGGTACGAAAAAACGAACCATAGTTTTACTGTAGCCGCTAGAGGGCGCTCTCTACTGTACCTGTAGTGTATTAAAATGGCCGAATATTTTTTCTTTTTTTTTGCTTTTTGAACAAAAAAACTGATTCTTCGCACTTTTCAACATAAAAAAGCTCTCTTGTGAATTTTCGTTATAGTTAGCCGTTTTTGAGATATTTCGATTTTTAAGGTTCGATGCATTTTTAATTATTTATGATAAAATGTTAGAAAGTATCTCGATAATTTTTAGAAGTAGGCTGTGCCTGCAAATATTTTTGAAATTGAAAGCAGAATAAGGTTAAACGTCAATTAGTTGACAGTTAGTTTTGTTGTCTGTTGAAACCTGAAACGTTTTTTTGCAATTGAGAATGCACGAAATTTAGTTTCTTTTACCTGTTTTTTTTTGTAAGTTTTATAAAAATGCCATTTTTATCCTCCAATCAAGAGTTAGCGGATATTCATTTTTTGTATGGCTTTGTAAATGGAAACGCAGCAGAAGCATCCAAAGAATACGCACGAAGATTTCCAAACAGACGACATCCAACTCGCTCAGTATTTGTAAGAGTGCATCGCCAAATAATTGAAAATGGTTTTGGAAATCTCCAAAGGGATCAAAACATAAATGTTCGTCAGCGCAGATTTACCCGTATGATTCTGCGTGAGTTTGATAGAGATCCGACCACAAGTGTTAGGAGAGTTTCTGGTGCCTTGGGAATTTCAGCAAGCCGTGTTCTTAGAAACCTATGCAAGAACTACAGCCAGGGGATGGAGAACAAAGAATCACATTTTGTCAATGGATTCTTGATAGAACTGATAATAATAGGGAGTTTTTAAGTAACGTTTTATGGACCAATGAGTCATGCTTCACTAGACGTGGAGTGGTAGATTTTCATAATCAACATATTTGGTCGCATGAAAATCCGCATGCAGTTCGGGAAAGAAATTTTCAGCATGAATTTAATGTGAACGTGTGGATTGGTATCTACCGTAATCGACTATTTGGACGCTAACTTTTGCCTGCAAGGTTAAATGCTGCGACCTTCTTGGAATTTTTAAGGGCTGAACATGCAAATATGTGGGATGATGTTATGTTAGATTTAAGAAGATTGGCCTGGTTCCAGCTTGATGGTTGTCCAGCTCATTAACCACAACAGATATGCTAATAGACAGAATCAGGAATGCATGTGATGAAATAAGGCCTTATTTGAATAATGCTATACCACGTTCGATCATTCGTAGATGTGAATTGTGTATTGAACAATTGGGTTTACATTTCGAGCAACCACTTTAGATTTTGTATTTTTGTCCTGACTATCCAATAGCATTTTAGTTGTAAATAATTAATTTAATTTGTTAAAAATAATATTGGAAAATTAAACAGATTAATATTCTGTTTTTTTATGTTTATTTGGAGTTAGAAATTATTGCTGTGTTTAAAAACACAATCTAAACGATAATCTTAATTACTTGTAATGCCCAAATCGAAAATGTAAAAAAAAAAATATTTTCCCATAAATAATTAAAAATGCATCGAACCTTAAAAATCGAAATATCTCAAAAACGGCTAACTATAACGAAAACTCACAGGAGAGCTTTTTTATGTTGAAAAGTGCGAAGAATCAGTTTTTTTGTTCGAAAAGCAAAAAATTGCACTAAGAAAGAATTTTCGGTCATTTTAATACACTACAGGTACAGTAGAGAGCGCCCTCTAGCTGCTACAGTAAAACTACGCTCATGGTTCGTTTTGTCGTACCAAAAAACCCTTGTATACCAATTTTCACTATTATACATCAAGTATTGTTCGAAATATTTAAAAAAAAAACTATTTTAGAAAGTAAATTTAAACACCCTGTATTTCGGAAGCCACGCATTTTCCGACCCATGTTTATATAGACTTTATGCATTAATTTTAAAAGTTCTATCGAATCTTAAAGTTATGCAACAATAAACTGAAACACCCTGTATATATACAGCTTTTATCTATGTGTTAGAAATGTCTTGATGTTAGAAATCTATTATTGATGAGAAAGAACGATGTTTTGGTGTTTTCGCTTTGCTACATAATCGGCAGCGCTTGAAAAGTGGAAAATTACTTTTGGGAGCAAAACGAAAGCAATTAGCATATCAAATGTAGTCTACCAATGGCCAGGTCATCACACAGATCAAAAAAATGCCTTTTGTATGGCCAATCGAAAAAAGTGTGTACTAATGCTTGGAATATAACACGCAATGTTAGCGTTTTCAAATGACCCATCGAAAATGATAGTTTTGCCGCAAAATAGTAAAAGACACTATCCTCTGGCTGTGGTCGACCTATGGAGCGCTTCCATGTCTCAGGAATGGCAGATGTCATTATGTTATGTGCAATTAATATTTACCAGTTTTACAACTATAAAAATAAAAATGTGATTTGCTACTGTTCTATAAGAAATTCTTTACGCAATTCGATTTCTCCTTCAGCAAAGTAGCACGTTGCGCTTTTAATACACAAAGAACTGGTTGAATTCGATTTCATTTAGCTCAAATAAGCATGAATTAAGAGTTTCACATGAAAAATGGCAGTGTGAAAACTACTGCGAAGACATACCAATTCTTCTGAAAAAAAACTCAATTTGTAAAAATGGTTAAGAGAATTTCACAACAGGTGATATGTAATATTTTCTAACTTAAATGTTTGATTGCTTGTCCTATTGTTACTCTATGGGAGATATTAGAAAAGACAAAAAGGGAATGGAAGGGGTGGCGAAGCGGGTCCATAACCTGGTTTTTTGACACTGAAAATAACACAAATTTCATGTTGATCACAGTTAGGAAATGTTTGCGTTTAGCTATTTTAGGTACAAATGCATTTTGAACTATCATCAATTTTTATTTTATCTTTATTTCAGTATTTCATAATTCTGGGATTTCTGTCCAAAATTTAATTTTTTCCACTATTTAACTCACTATTTTTATATGAGCTCATAATCGCAACACTTCCTACTCTAAATGTATAATAAAGCACACTGAGACATAACACATATTATACACATTGCGTATATACATTTTGTATTGTTTCAACTTTGGTTTTGTGAGCGCAGTATCGCAACACTTTCATTTTTATAGGTATATATTTCATGTTTAAGTGTGTTTTATTATAGAATTGAAATAATATTGCAACTGTACGCTTCGTAGGGGATCCCAAGAAGTTAAATGGGTAGTTACTCGAGAAAGGACCTATTAGGTTTTGAGGATTAAATCACCGAAAGAAAAAATGTTATATGATGACCCTTTTAGTGGTGGAGATAGCCTATGGAGTTTGTCAAAAATGTAAAAAGAATAATTATATAGGAATACTCCAGCGCGTCAGATATTGATAGTGTTCGAAGTCTGTAAATTGATATTGATTTTTTTAATTCAAATATAATTACAATTTTATATTGTCACCCTCTAAATAACTTCATTCTGAAGCCACATAGCGCTGGAGATGGTTCTTCCACTCCTCATAGCAGTGCTAGAACCCCCATACTAGAATAGCCTTCAGCTGGTTGGTTACAGCCGTTTGAATGTTTTCGACAGTCCCAAAATGAGTTCCCTTGAGGTGATTTTTAAACTTCCGGAAGAGAAAAAAGTCACAAGGACTCAAGTCAGACGATTAAGGTGGCTGAGGAGTCACAGAAATGTTTTTACGGGCAAAAAAATCGTTTATTGACATTGCTGTGTGCAAAGGGGCATTATCGTGATGCAAGAGCCAGTTGTTATTGATCTGATGAACGGTGGTGTGAGTCAAATTTAACTCTTCCCCGATCATTCTGTCAACCGTCGATCTGAACGCACAAGATCCCGGACTCTCTCCCTCCTAAAAATGCCTGAAACCACCGAAAAATCTGGGTACTTGACAAAACAATATATTCGCAGGCCTGCTGAAATTTAGTAAGAGTTTCCGTTGCACTGTGCCCAAGTCTGAAGCAAAACCTGATATTACACAATAGGAAAAAGTTTCACAAAAAAAAAAATCGATACGGACAACCAAATGACTCAAGCGAGTTCAAACTTGTACTGGAGGCGGATCACATGTTGATATGTTCCCCTGTCTCCCCTTCAAGTCCGGCGCCGCAGTGTTGCCAGATGGAACACTACGTTGGCTCGTGACTTAATTCACAGACCTCGTATTCTGATCCTTTATTTTTGTCAGTCGATATTGCACATAGCATTGTCGATACAACCCTAATTCCAACAATTGAACTTTGAGCACTTCTTATATAAATATACGTTTATCTAAGCAAACGATGATTAATAACATTCCAATTTCTTGATCACATTATTATTCATAGATTATGAAAATGATACCCGGACTGGTGAATCATTACAATTTCTTCGATATTATAGTAATTAATAAGTCATAAAAACCACTGTAATTGAGTGTTTTTCGTGATACAATGTAATTAGCGATGCGATGAAAAGTGAACTATTGTAATTGTTAACGAGTGTTTGCACCCAATTGCGTGGATAGCTGGTTAGTGCTATAGCGTGGTTGAATATCATATTGTATTCTGTATTGTCTTCTTTTTTAAGGTAAGGCTGTAATCTTACATGTAAAATTGTGACTTACCCTCCCACGCGGATTAAACTTGTTTTATCTAGCACTTTGTTATTTTATACGTTCAACAATTCAACAGAATTTAATTAATTCCCAGAATATCAAAATATCTTGGAAATCGTAGAGCTGGAAACATGTTACACATAGTGACATGCCCATCGAATAAATAAAATACGTTTTATGTTGATATTTTCAGATATATTGTTAGAAGAGTTAGTAACTATGTGGTAATTGAAGTTTTTAACGCACATATTTTCGAAAAGAAAAGTATTGTATTATTCCATATTTAGAGACGAGCAAACAGCGAAATGATGTCATTGGTACAAAACATCGTTTCTACGTAGTCGTGCCATAAGTTCTGTCCCATGATAATCTCATGATAAAAATGAAACAAGATAAGATATATTTATATGAAAGATATTATTTATTCGACAACATTTTTAGAATTCATAATCAAACAGTTTTATTCAAAATGTCCCCCCTTGGCCTTCACACACTGCTTCAATCTCGCGGGCCACTCATCTATCACTGCACGCACAGCTTCCAAAGGAATAGCTGCCGCTGATCGGATCAAATCCGCTTTCAGGGACTCGATATTACGGTGGGCTTTGGAGCAGGCCAACTGCTCTAGCAGGTCCCACAACTTGTAGTCTAAAGGATTGAGGTCCGGACTCCCTGAGGGCCAATCTTCCGCAGCAATGAACTATGGCACATTGCTTTCCAGCCAGCGCTGCGTACTCTTAGCCTTGTGAGCGGGGGCGGAATCCTGCTGGTAGACCCAGTGTTGGTTGGCAAACAATGTACCACTTAAAGGCTTGACGATAGGATCCAGTATGTCGCTCTGATAGTTTGCCGCTTTTGTTTTCACGCCCTGTTTACAGAAATGGAGCTGAGTGACCCCTTCGTAGGACACCCCCCACCAAACCATGACTGACGCAGGGTGGTGGCCTCTCTCAACTCTCGGAATGATCTCCGAAGCTTCCTGTGAACTCCTTGCATACACTTTGTCATTTTGTCGGTTGAATTTTTCTTCTATGGTGAAGATTTTCTCATCCGTGAACAAAATCTTTCGGAATCCCCCAGCTGCGTACCTCTCCAAGAGCTTCTTGGATCTTGTCGCCCTGATGTGTCGCAAGGTGGCCGTAAGTCGCTGGCCTGTACGTCTCCGGTAAGCCCCTAGCCCTAGGTCTTGTTTAATGATGCGCGACATCGTCCGGGCAGGAATCTTCATTTCCCTGGATAGGATCTTCTGCTTCCGGAGTGGATTCCTTTGAATCCTGGCTTTTACGGCTTTGATGGCTGCTGGAGTCCTTACTTGACGAGGTCTTCCGCTTCTTGGCCTGTCATCAACAGAGGACGTCTCATTGTACCGCTGAATGGTCCTAGACACAAATTTACGCGATATTTGAAGGCCGCGTAAGAGTTCAAAAATCTGACTAGCACTGTGATTACACTTATGTAAAGCTATCACTGCAATACGGTTCTCTGCCTTGTCCCACTCCATCGTTATGCTTCGAGAGATCAATACAAACTGAGGTATATGTAATTACCCGAAAAGCGCTTAATCAACTGACACCACAATGTAAACAATCGGACAAGTATTAACAGGTCTACACTTGTTTGAAAACGAGGGACAGAACTTATGGCATGACTACGTATATCCACCTCTTATATGTATATAAAAATGACCTCCGAATTCATATAATTGAAATATAGTCACATGATATTTCACAAAACACTCAGTAAAGCGGACTCCAAAATTTATAGATGTTTCAAAAATGTGAAATATTATTTTTGTTTACTATTGAATCCAGATGAGTGGAAGCATACACATTAAAAATCGTTCAGCTTATACATGGTGACTTTTTAGTGTGGGCTCGGTCAATAACTCCATTATTAGGCATGGTATCTAAAAAAGTTAATCACTGAAAGTGTATTCAACGGTATGCTACTTATCGGGAAAATATTTTTTACTGTACAGGTTGATTCATTTGAAAGGTAACATCCGCATTGTACCTATAGTAGATTTGGATAGGCATTTTAAAATGAAGGAATTACTATAACATACTATAGGGTTTTATTATCAAATTGTTGAGATATTCAACAATCTATCGAAAAAACACTCAACTTCGACGACTCGCACTTCCGAAACTCTTATGGCTAGAGTACTGAATTTTTCATTTGAAAAATTTTATGATCCTATAGTTTCTCCCTGCCTATTTTTTCAGTTTTCTGGATCGTTGATACAGGATATCCAGGAATACAAAATGAACTGTTTCTCAAAATTCTCAAAGGAACGCCCTGTATAAGTTTAGACTTTATGGGCGTTTGTACGTCTGATTTTTGAGTTGCATATAACCTTTTTGTGAATTAGATATCAAGGTAACTGAAAAATATAACAATACCTTATCAACATAAAGAATTGCTTTTATTTGGTAACGATAGATCATTAGAATTGGTGTATTTTCATAATGATTGCAATAAAGTTGAAAAGTCAAAAAGGTGTCCTGGTGTTTTAAATAGCTCAAAAACCAGTGATATAAATAGGGAATGCTTGTGGAAGGAGGAATCAAAGAATGTGAACATTATTAAAATAGTCCATTTTGCTTTCTTGATCATCCTACAGGTTTACAGAAAATATGGGATAATAAAAATTTTGTGTCGAAAAATTCATCACTTCAACCACTCCACAGTTGAGGAGGTATGAGTTGTCAAACTTGAGTATATTTTTTTACGATAGATTGTCGAATATCTCAACAATTTGAAAATAATATCCTAGAGTTTGTTATATCGAATTGGTTCGTTTAAAAGGAGCTATCCAAATTCGTAATGAAATGTAGTATTTTCCATTTACAAAATGTATGATTGGATCATCACGTAGTTATAAATCACCCAGAGGAGATAAAAATATTTTCCAAGCAAGGAACGTACTGTTGGCTACAATTTTAGTATTCATTTTTTAGATACCAAGTTATCCACCTATACTAAAAACTCATAGTCATTTGCAAAATATTTAATGATACGGATTAAATTAACTTTTTTGCAATCGGTCTTGTACCATGAAATGTCCATCATATGTTAACTGATGCAAATTCGGTAGCTTATATACTACTTTGAGGATTCAAATAAGGCGTCTAGACGTAAGTCTAAAGTCAACAATGTCGAAGTGTCACTCCGCGAAGTATGGAGCAATCCTGTATTATTTTCACTTTAATGCAGGATGCAAAATCTACTTGACTATATCAACGTATCATCCGCGACTTTAATGCACGTGCGCATTTCCATATCAACTCAACAATTTTAGATTAAATAAATATGTATTCACTTTAAAAAAGTATTCCACTCACTAACATATATTGTCGCAGATTGTTTTAAAGTATACATTCAACGATACTGTGTATATATGAGTTGATGTGATCTAAAAATTAAGTGCCCTAAAATAAGTACTTTTCGGTATGTAAATATTTGTCAATGGCAGACATTTTGTATGCACCTTGAGTTTAATATATAAAAAGATAATTTGATCTACCTGTTTTCTTTGTTTTGAGATAAAACCGATTCGAATTCTTTGTAGGTGAAAATGCTTTTAAAGTCAGTCTTATCCCTATGATACTGGTATCAAATAAAAGAGCTTGATGGAAGCAGAGTGGCGTGTTTCTAAATCCATTGTGGCTAATATATTTACAGACCCACTAGATCTTGAGGTTTTTCCTCTTCGGTTCTACTAATGCGTCTGTCACTTCTTCCCTGTATACACTATAAATATTTAAGTGTGAATCAGCCCTATTACCCTATATCCATTTTTCCTCGCATTTGCGTTTACACGTCTCTCACAAAAGCTTCCGTGAGCAGTGTGGTATTTTCCACGTAGACAAAAATTGCATCTCAAATATCTAAAATAGGTTGTCTGCATCCATTTTATTTCTCACGCCTACTGGCGGTCCAGTATTGTATCCGAGAAAATTTTCGAAACGCGAACATTATGTATTTTGTATGTTAAATGACATGTACATTACGAAAAACAATGTCACTCATTTCCGTCTGTCCGCTAATCTTATAACCGCCAATAACGTGAGAAGTACCTCTCGAGTTTTGATGAAATTTTTTTACGCAATGTTACTACTATGCCAAGGATGAAAAAGCTTTGCAGTTTTTGAAAATCAGTCCATTGGTGGCGGGGAAAAATGTCAAAAACGAAAAAAAAGACCAAAAATTCATTTTTGACGTTTCAGAGGACCCTGATCAATCCTCAAAATAGTTTTAGAGATAACAAATTTGCGGGTAGTGGTTGTAGGGAAGGTATATCTCAGTTTTTTTATGTCACGTCTTACCGGGTTAGGTATAGGGGAGAGGCGACGTCGCCACATGGTCTACCGTTAGGGGAAGAATGTTTATGGACCAATTATATAGACCTGACTTTTTTCTGAGGGACTAATTTGGGCTGAATAAAATCCCTTATGAACTGATAACGGTCAACCTACTTGACGGCATTTTTCCATCCTCGTTCTTTGCTGGGATATTAATAAAAACGTATTTGGAATTTGTACATTGAAAGATACATTTATATAATCTGCAATTTGCCCCCAGAAGTATCAGTTAATAGGATTTGATTTCTATTCCCGATATCGATGTAATGTGATATTTGCAAGCTAAACTGTCAAGGTCAGAGAATAAAGATTTCCTCGCGTCTTGGAGTAGTCTAACCTCCATGGAAGAAGTAGGGTCACATTCTACGGGACTACTTCATAGAAAAAGTAAAAATTTTTTGAACGCAATATGTTGGTATTCCGTCCTCCTGAAATTTTTTGATAATACACATTTTTCTATAACCTTCATTGAAGTACTTGTAGAATTTCAGCTAATGCTAATTTTTGCCAATCTCTGAAGGTTTTTATTTCCTGCTTGAAATTCTCACGTCTGCCGATGATCGTTGACGAAGCAGATAATAGATAATGCGTCGGTTCAACGTTCATTCGCGTTTCCAAAGAAGAATAATCTCGCTTCGCGTTAATCAGTTGACCATTGACTACGCGTCAGTTCTAACCAGTGTCGCCTCTCTATAATATTGGATGTTATATCTCTAATGAAATGTAGTAAACTATTAGTGTGTGATTGTGATAACCAGTGCGGTTTCAATTTTCATAGGAAATGGCGTATTGTACCCCGTCATGCAAAAAATGGACCACATTTGGAGTATCAGGGACTGTTTTGATGCTTGGAATACTGCTCATCGTAGGCTGGAAAGGGTTTTTCAAAAGCATTATGGAAAAGGTATGTTTGATTGACATGTTTTTATTATTTAACTGAAGTATTTGGTCATACCCACAACAACGTTATTAAGATAGTTGTGTGTTTGAATTAAAAATGTATTGTAAGCTTTAGATATTTAAAGTTCATAAATAATATCTAATTACTTGAATTAATTTCACCATACGTTTTGCCAATGCCGGCTTTAGAGTTTTGTGGGCCCTACGTCAAAGTATAAAATATGCGCCCTTCTCCCATATTAATTTCTTCTTGGCACCCTCCACAACTCTCACTTTCTTACCGCCTTTATTCGGTACTGCATGTTTTTTTTTATTCGCTTATGACTACTTTAGAAGAGCGAATGACGAATTATCATGTTTTTTCACTCAGCTAAAAAATAATGTCTTCAGCAAAGTGAAAAGTATCGAACTTTTAATCTGTTCGCTGTTAGATGATACCACAAATGTTGATGTAACAAATGTACTGACGCTCGCCACAATGATAATTGTCGACTCATTTTGTACTTTGAGAAAGGCCATTGGAATTGGAGAAACGTTAGTAATTTTCTATATACATATGTGGTTTCAGTTAACGGCTAATAGAACGTGAAAATGAATCAGCGAGACAACAGACAGCCACATACATTTTAGGGATGTTATTAATTATCGCTTCAGTCATTAAAGACAAGAATCTACCGCACATTATAACAAAACGCAAGAAAGATATATTTTATACAGGGTGTCCCAGAAGTCGACGTCAAGCCGAAACCGGGTGATACGCAAAGTCATAACAGCTATCAGAAAAATATTTAAAAAAAATTTATGTATGTGTTTTGAAAATTATAGGTCTTTGAAAAAATATAGAAATTTCACACCCTACGGCAGTCTGTCAACTCCTGTTACTACAAATATTAACTTTTTTTGGATTTTATTTTTACAATGTAATGATGAATAATGCATCTTCAAACTGGTGTCTCAACCTTACTGCCAACTTTTCTCGTTCAGGAAAAATTGCCACTTATTTCCCAACCAAGTATTCCAAAGTAAAACTTTGCTCAACTTTAACTGGCTGTACTGGAAAAAAATGTACTACGAGAGTTTGGCAAGTAACCTTAAAAGTTGGCGCATTTCATAAGGATTCCAAAATGGTATAACACTTAGAAGATTACTCGTTAACTTATGCACAATTTTTATTTGAAGAAAAACTGATGAAAATTTTTCAAAATTTCCTAATTAAACAGCGATTATGAAAACGCACAAGGACCCTTAAGGATAACTGTTTGCACAACAGTGGGCGTCAAAATGCTGCTGATGATGATTTACCTTTACAGCAAATGCTCAAACTGTTTTCCTTCAGCCGCAATACACGCTCGACATCTTCTTAAAAAAAATCGGGTTATTAAACGAGCGAATCCACGGTTATTAACAAACTCAGCTGCTTCTAATAGGCCGCAGCTCAGCTACATTTTGAATCGGCTTGAAATACACTTTTTCTTTTACAGTTCCCCAGTAAAAAAAATCTAACGGATTAAAATCTGGTGACCGGGCTGGCCACGGTATTGTACCAGACCGCCCTATCCATCTGCCTGGAAAGTTTTGATCGAGATACTCTCTCACTGAGAGTGCATAGTGCGCTGGGCAGTCATCATGCTGAAACCACATGTCCCCATCCATACCACATACAGCATGTTCAATCTCTCCTGCCCCGGGATTATGAGCCCCGAGTTGCTTCTTGTCGCACAATGTTAGAAAGATACAGGAAAGACCCACAGTTCTTTGAACAAATTTTATGGTCGGATGAGACCACATTTAAGAAAGATGGGTACATGAACCTGCATAACTTACACGAGTGGCACGTAGCAAACCCACATTCGATGAGAGAAGATAAATCTCAATATCGCTTCAAGATAAACCATTGGACAGGAATTTTAAATGGTAAAATAATCGGTCCGTTTGAGTTCCCAGAGACTTTGACTGCTGAAGTTTATTTGGATATTTTGAAAAATCATATACAAAATTTATTGGTGGACGTGCCACTGAGTATTTACAGGGACATGTGGTTTCAGCATGATGGCTGCCCAGCGCACTACGCACTCTCAGTGAGAGAGTATCTCGATCAAAACTTTCCAGGCAGATGGATAAGGCGGTCTGGTACAATACCGTGGCCAGCCCGATCACCTGATTTGAATCCTTTAGATTTTTTTATTGGGGAACTGTAAAAGAAAAAGTGTATTTCAAGCCGATTCAAAATGTAGCTGAGCTACGGCAAAGACTATTGGAAGCAGCTGAGTTTGTTAATAACCGTGGATTTGCTCGTTTAATAACCCGATCTTTTTTAAGATGTCGAGCGTGTATTGCGGCTGAAGGAAAATAGTTTGAGCATTTGCTGTAAAGGTAAATCATCATCAGCAGCATTTTGACGCCCACTGTTGTGCAAACTGTTATCCTTAAGGGTCCTTGTGCGTTTTCATAATCGCTGTTTAATTAGGAAATTTTGAAAAATTTTCATCAGTTTTTTTTTCAAATAAAGATTGTGCATAAGTTAACGAGTAATCTTCTAAGTGTTATACCATTTTGGAATCGCTATTAAATGCGCCAACTTTTAAGGTTACTTGCCAAACTCTCGTAGTACATTTTTTTCCAGTACAGCCAGTTAAAGTTGAGCAAAGTTTTACTTTGGAATACTTGGTTGGGAAATAAGTGGCAATTTTTCCTGAACGAGAAAAGTTGGCAGTAAGGTTGATACACCAGTTTGAAGATGCATTATTCATCATTACATTGTAAAAATAAAATATAAAAAAAGTTAATATTTGTAGTAACAGGAGTTGATAGACTGCCGTAGGGTGTGAAATTTCTATATTTTTTTCAAAGACCTATAATTTTCAAAGCACATACATAAAATTTTTTTAAATATTTTTCTGATAGCTGTTATGACTTTGCCTATCACCCGGTTTCGGCTTGACGTCGACTTCTGGGACACCCTGTATATTGTAATGACTGAATTATTATGAAGAAAAATACTTAGTACCAGTTTCCGAATAGATCTATCCAAATAACACAGCAGATATTTTATTCTTTTCAAAGACGTCATCAACCAAACACGTCTGAAACTTATCTTTTGTTTGTCTTTCTGAACCATGTCGATAAGACTTGTGATTGTTAAATAATGATTTTTTTGTAGGAACTTTCTCTAGGAAGTCGTAGCACAAAAGGCTTCGAAATGTGGAAAGAAACTCCAATACCGATGTACCTGGAATTCCACCTGTTCAACTGGACGAATTCAGCCGAAGTTATTAAGAATCCCAACGTGAAACCGAATTTTATAGAGTGCGGACCTTATATATTTCATGAGCATCACATCAGAGAAAATATCACGTTTCATGAAAATGGTACAGTTACTTTTATGCAAAGGAGAATATGGAGGTTTCTTCCCGAAAAGTCAGGAGGATCTTTGGAAGATGAGATAACTACGTACAACCCAATCCTTTCGGTAAGCATTTTCTATAAGGACAATATAGGTATTTTCGTTTTAAACGGATGTTTACTTAAGGGAAAATGGAAAGTTTTCACTTGCGGCTGCGGCTATTAGATAATCGTTGTTTGAGTACGAACACACGTATATTATTGATTAATTTTGAATGCGAGATGTATTTCAACGCCTTGCCGTCTACACGCCTTATATATAACTGACTGATTTGAATTGCGCGCTATTTTTGATACACACATTTCAGTCGGTGGCGCTATAGCACTTGTTTAAAGCACATGTGTCCAATTCATCATGGGGCGCTACACGATCCCACAACGCGTCCGTATTGTTTAAACGTTTTACTTAAATAATAAGACGATTGTTGTAACGATTCGGAAGCTACGACAAGATTTCGGTCGAAATAATGTGCCCAGTGTCAACAGCATTCGTCAGTTGATGCGGAAATTTGAACAAACAGGTGAAGTTTAAGAGTTGCCAAGGTCCGGCCGTGTTCGAAGTGTTCGTACTCGAGAGAGTTCGTGAAAGTGTAGTGGAGCGCCCTGAGACGTCTACCAGACATCGTTCTCAAGAACTGGGTATTCTTCGCACGTCACTATGCACTATTTTAAAAAAAGACTTGCATTTGCGGCCATACAAAATTCAGTTCACCCAAGTGACCATGAAAGTCACCGACAATACAGTCATGCAATATTGCAGCTTAATACCAAAAATAACGATTTTTACCGTCAACTGATAATGAGTGATGAAGCCCACTTCTATATGAACGGATTTGTTAATAAGCATAATTGTCGTATCTGGGCATTAGAGAACCCTCGTGTCATCCATCAACGACCACTACATCCTCGTCGAGTCACGTTTGGTGCGGTATTTGGTATAGAGGTGTCATTGAACCTTACTTCTTTGAAGACGCAGCAGGTAATTATCTTACTGTCACTGGCGACCGCTACCGTGATATGGTGCAAAACTTTCTGGCTCCTTAAGTCCAACAATTTAACCTGTAAAACATGTGGTTCCAGCAGGACGGAGCAACTTGTCACACAGCTAGGGAAACAATGAATCTTATGCGAACAATATTCCCGGGATGTTTAATTTCTCGATTTGGTGATGTCAACTTGCCACCAAGGTCACCGGATTTAACGGCTCCTTACTTTTTTATGTGGATTTTTGAAAAATAGGGTTTATGCCAACAAACCAAATACTGTAGAGCAGCTGAAGAACAATATTACGGAAGCGGTTGAAAATATTTCTCCCGAAACCTACCAAAAAGTGATGGAAAATGTAATCAAGACGGCTCAGGTTTGCGCGGCTTCTAGAGGCGGACATTTGTCTGATATTATTTTTCATACATAATTTCTAAGTTTCAATAAAAGATTAAGATAAAAAATGGACTTAATTTATTTCATTGCACAAATATTCAAGATACAAACCAGTCAGTTACATATCGGGCACCAGGTAGTATCTAATTGTCTGCAGCAAGAAACCCTGGCGGGAGGGGTGTTCTCGAATGTCGAGTGGTCAATGTCAATCTCGTAATCGACATTTTCATTCGAAAAAATCTCGCGAAGCTAAGACCGTGCTACAATGAATGACGCGTTAGAGATTCTTTCACCGTTGGACAAAACGGCAGATTTAGAAATATGATTTGCTTGAAAATACTTATTTTTCTCTACGTTATTGTCCACCTTTTTCTTACGCCGGCTCAAAATCTAATAACAGCAAATTATTTTGGCTTACTTCTCGCATTCCGAATCATGCAAGTATTATTTTGTTTTCTGTCCTAAGGTCTTAGGTGTACCCGTATTAACGTATTTATTTTCTTGCAGAGTGTGGCCAACTTGGTGAAAGATAAACATATACTAGTACGGAAAGGAGTAAATTTTTTCTTAGTAGAAAAGAGGGTAAAATTAGCTATCACTAAAAAGGCAAAAGAATTTCTATTTGAAGGTTACGAAGATCCTTTGTTAGATCTTGTACATAAACTGAACATAAGTGGTGTGAACGTGCCTTTCACGAAATTTGGTTGGTTCGTAGATGTAAGTATGAGTTATGACTTGTTATTTCTATGAATATGGTTCCTGAAATCCTGTGATGATATTTTATAGTTACATCGTTTAGATTAGAAATCTAAAATCACAACAACAATGTCACAAATTAATACTGAGCATTTTCATATTTTCTTTTCACCATGATATAAAAAATAGGACATACGAAATATAACAGTAATAATAATAGAATAAAAACAATTTATGTTGAAAGCTTCTGGAGTTTAAATTAATAATAGTTTGTATGATATTTGTTCCAGAGGAATAATAGTTTAGAATATGACGGTATATTCAACATGTACAATGGTGCAAACGGTATAGAGAATTTAGGCAAACTCCACACTTGGAACTACCAGACTGATGTACCATATTGGCCCGATAGCTGCGGAAATGTAGATGGTACAACCGGGGAACTTTGGTACCCGCCTTTAGGTAGAGACAAATTGAAACTTTTTGCTACTGACATATGTAGGTGTGTATATTCAAGGATTTTTTGTTGTTGATTTATTACTACTTACACAAGTATTACACAGCTGGTGCAGCATCAGGTGTATAAATGGCAGCATGGCTAATTGATACTAGTCTAGCCCAGATACTCGACCTATAAGAGGTCTGTGAATTAAGCGATGAGATTGATTTCTTTTAAGACAACCAAATGACTCGAGAGAGTTCAAACTTGCATTGAAGGCGGATAATATGTTCCTCTGTCTCTCCCCTAAGCCCGGCGCCTCCAGTGTTTGCCAGATCGAATGCTACGTTACTTAATTTACAGACCTTGTAGTTCAACCAATTTACATACTGCTTAAGAAATAAAGGGTGAGCCATCTAGTGGTTTCTTTTTGAATCATAGGATATGTCGGCACTGATAGTTCTCTCTTGCTCGCCATATCACCAAAAAGTCAGTATCATACCTCCGCAGCATAAAATGAATCGTTTTACGCTTGAACAACGTTGTGAAAAATGGAAAGTCTATTTCCAAAGTCAGTGCCGTGTAGCTCAAACAGTGCGAATTTTGGAAAGAAATTTGACCGAAGGGAGGCACCCACCGCGCCTGCTGTAGGAAAATTTGTGCAAAAAGTTCATGAGACGGGCATGCTCGTTGACAATAATCTCGGTCCACGTACTCATACGGTACTACGCACAGTCGACAATGCTGTAGTCGAAAGTGTGCGACTTAATCCCAGAACATCAACTCGCCGTCGATCGCAATAACTTAACATTAGTCGCACTAGCCTGAGGAGAATCTTACACAAAGACCTTGGATTATTCGCTTACAAGATCCAATTGACCTAAGAATTGACATTCCAAGATAATTTGCTTCGGTATCGCTTCTCACTTTGGGCCTTAGAACAGCTCAAAGTCGATGAAGATTTTGCTCGAAAAATCATATTTTCTGATGAGGCGCATTTCCAGCTTGGCCGATTTGTCTTCGAGAATGAAGTCGGCAACGCCGTGAAAATCATTGGAGAGCGTTACCGAGGCATGCTTACCGACTTTTTATGGCCATAAATTGGTAACAATGGTAGAAATGACCTTTGGTTTCAACAAGATGGAGCCACATGCCACACATCCAATCAAACGATCTATCTTTTACACTCCAAATTTCGTAATCTTGTAATCAGCTGACGTGGCGATGTCAATCGTTCGCCTCGAAGCTGCGACTCAATTCCGTTGGATTTCTTTTCGTGGGGGAACCGTAAAAGATCAATGTTATGTGGACAACCCACATACGATTTAGGCCCCTAAGTTGAATATTCAACCAGCTATTCGTCAGATTCACCCGTACACCGTCAACAACGTCTTGAAAAATTGGATCGACAGTATCCGCTACTACAAACGTAGTCGAGGGAGCCACATGAATAAAATCGTGTTCCATAAATAATCGGAATGTTTGTTCTTTCCAATAAAGTCGAATAATTGAAAAAATTGATTTTCATTCATTTTACTGCATTATAAAAAAATTCTATTTGGCCCACCCTTTATAACCAAGCCACTATGCAATACTTGTGGTAAGAAGCTGTATAGATATCAGTTTTACACGTCGATACTTTTAGTTCGATAGAATTAGTGAAAGATGGTAAATTCTGGCTTGACGGAATGGAATCTGATAAATACGTCGGAACTGAGGAGGTGTTTGATAACGGAACTGTCTTTCCTGAGCAGAAATGTTTCGTTCCTGATCATGTACAACAACCGAGTGGTATTAGGAATGTTTCCCTTTGCAAGTAAGTGAGTTTAATCAAAAAAATATACCACCCAGACTTATGGATTTTAGAATTTTTGAATTTGTTTTGATGTTTTGCTTGGTCAAGCGAAATCGCATAGCAACTGTATAGTGAGAGTCAATAGAGTACACGTCAGTCATAAGCACACACAATCGTGGCTCACCGTATGAACATAATTAAGTCGTGTAATTTTATGTCAACCATAAATTGAATTTTTCGTAACAACAAACTATAAATTACTTTTCTGGATTAATATTAAATTTACCAAGTCCGAAGAATCCCAACTAACCCTCTTTCCCCTATTTGCTCTTTCCCTGTCTTCATTTCTTTCTTTGCCCATGGTCAACTAGAATCAAACCCGACATACCTACTAACCAACAATACTTTAACCAAAGGAAAGGGTCCTACGGACCACTTTGACAAGCAAAGACGAATGGACGAGGTTTTCCACTTTTTAGAGATGAGATATTATGTTTTTTAATGTTTGCGACATATCTGTTTGTCGGTCTGTCTGCTAATTTTTGGACCACCTATAACTTGGAAAGTACTGCTCGGATTTGGATGAAACTTTCAAACAAGGTTATGACTATGCTAAGGACGAAGAAGCTTTATAATTTTTGAATATCGGTCCAGTGACGGCGGATCTCAGGGCAAAAAAACGAAAAAATCGCTCAAACTTCATTTTTCGACGTTACAGAGGGTTTTCATCATTTTCAGGATGGGTTGGGGTTGTAGGGGGTGAAGGAAGGTATATCTCATTTTGTTGGCGGCAGTATATTTGACAGCGTTGCGTGGGAACGTTGTCACCCTACTTGACCTCTTTTTTTGATTGATGAATATTATTATGTGAACGTAACTGTTGTCTTTTAGATTTGGTGCCCCAGCTTTCCTTTCATACGCCCACTTTTACCTAGCAGACGAGTATTATAGATCGACAATAGATGGAATGAAACCTAACAAGAGCAAACATGAAATGTTCATCGCTCTAGAGCCCAGTACCGGACTTCCGTTAAGAGTTCAAGCAACTCTCCAAGTTAATTTGAAATTATTCAATGTGAAAGGAATAACGTAAGTATATATTTTCAATCCGTAAACACGCCGTAAATGTATGCACATTTTTGCAGGGATTTAATTTCAAAAAAAAATAATTCGTGTAGAGATGGTCCTTCAGGCAAAGTGTATTTACTGCACATAATTGACCTTCTTTCCATCGGGATAAATTCAATATATGTTAGTTTCATCGGCATATGCTATTATTCCGATCCTCGGAGAACACTAGCCTCCATAACCATCATTAACGCGAACTTCCATTGAGATATGATTGAAAAAGTTGTAATGGCAATCTTCAAACTCCATATCTGCATAACTTGCACAGCAACAACTTATGATCAACATAATCAAAAGCACCAGGAAAGTCTTATAAAAGGCCACAAATATGTTTTATTTTATCAAGGGCCTTGATCAGTAATACTGTACACCGCAGCTTCAGTGCTTTTACCGTTGATAAAACCATGCTGATTTTCCGAGATCACCTTATTCTTAATGAAAAGTTATACCAGTTGTTTTTCCATATTGAGCTCAAAAATATTTTTCCATTTAGGATGTTAGAAAACATGAAGCCGAACCTTTTACCAGCCTTCTGGTTCAGCCAAACTGCGGAGATGACAGGCGACTTGATAGGGTTGGCAAAAGTTTTGCTAGTAATGCCATCTGCCGGCCAATACACGGGTTATGGTATGGTCGCTATCGGGCTTCTTATTAGCCTGATCGGATGCACGATCACGTACAGAAGGGGGTGGAAAGAGAGTGAGGAGGAAACCTTACTTACCCAGAATACACTCTAACCCGACTGTTTCAGGCCCAACTAAAATGTGATACTTCGTTCCTAGTCTGTAGTGTATATTCCATGTTTTTTTATTGACATTCCTTGCGGCCTTGAGACAGTTGCAATGAGTGGTTATACAACATATGATGATACGTGAACATTATCTCGGTTACGTATAGGATACAAAAAAATCTCGTTTCTCTATAAAAAATGTTCATATCTGCCATTAATGTTTTGACTCAATTAACAAAAAATGTTCTCATGGATTATCCAAACAGCAAAAGGATGGCTGGACACCTGATAGCGACACTTTATTTTTTCTCACCCACATTTCTGTTAAAAACCTTCAGGGCTAGGTTTGAACATTTTTTGATAGGATTTCTATTATTTTTGAGTATTTTATATGAATACCAGAAATTTCCCTCAATATTCTGGACAAGAATTCGAAGACTAATTGATCCAGACACTGATGCTCAAGATTTTGAATTGTTTAGGTGATGGTGGAATCAACCTATCGGGTCGATTGAGTCATATTTTTTATACATATTCTCTTATAAATATGTAAAATTCGTTTTTGCATGTTTGTAGTAAAATCATCATTAGTTCTGGATTATTTAGTTTAGCCTCTTGTGCAAAAATATAGAGACTGTGGACAATCTTATATCTACGATCTCTCTAATTTTATATGCCATACAATTCTGACAGGAGTGTAAGAATTGCGAATATATTAATGATGTTATATAGCAATAATAGTATTCTGTTAAGAAATGATTTTATTATTCACTGATGGCCTTGTAATGACTGACAAGTTTTACACGGCGAATACTGTAGCGCTTAAATAGATTTAAAATATATTAAACCATATCAAATCACTGAGTGAAAGCAAATTTGTCTTTTATAGAAAAGTGATATTCAGTTGCTGTAGAGCTACTTTGAGTATTTTTTACACTGTACATAAAAAATTCCAATGCGCTTTTATTGAGTATTAGAATCTTGCCTCACATCGTTTTGAGACCAAAAGCAGCTACAGATTCAGAATTACAGGCCCAGAAAGAGGAATTTTTAGAATTTAAGTATTTAAAAAGGTTATTTAAGAAGTAAGGGCGCTATTTTCATCTGGATTGATATTTTTGTACAGTGATATATAAAATATCTAAATTATAATATGTTTTTAGAACAATCTGTAGCTGCGACTTGTATTTTTTGGCCAGTACATATTAATAAAAAAAATCTGTATAGACTGAGTTTTTATTTTACAAATATCATCGTATTTTAGACACTTCAGTTTTTCTCTATTATCCCATTATACTAAGTGTATTATTATGAATGAAATTGATCTTACAAAAATACATGTTTGACTCAACTTGTTGATTTATTTATTAATAAAGTTATTAACATTTTTTGAGGATTTTGTAAATCACCCTTACCCTCAACGTAGAATATCAGATGGATCAAGATGATGTTATTCTTGGATTTGGCTATTTGATATCTTTACTGAAAACTATCGAGAAGGAACCATGTTCCGGGTACAAATTTCGATTCCTTAGCTATATATCGCTCGCCGCTTCTGCGATCCTACTAGAATTTTTTTCGAACACGTGCTTTGTTATGAATATTGATTGGTTGTAAATTTAAATTTCCTCTCGGCGCTGTTGCAATCCGGACAGAATTTTAAGTGCCCGAAAGCACATCTGATCGCAAAAATCAAACCCAGTAGGTAAACATTTCTATACGGATTACAATATATAAAAGCCCAGATCCAGTCTTCAAATTTTACCGTTTGTATAAGTGGTTTACTGTCAGGATCCCCAAATCGCCAGGAGATATGGAAATGCTATTCTGCTCCTGATATCAGTGCCATCACCACTCGCTTCTACGATCCTGATACAAAATCTTAATAAGCCGAAATCCATCCAAAATTCCATCGTAAATGTTGTGAAATTGTATCAGAAGCAATTTGCTATCTGGGCCACAGGGGGCGCAAAGAGGTACGAAAATGCTACTATGCTCCCGCTATCAATGGCAACACATATCACCGTTTCTGCGATCCTAATACAAAATCTGCAAAACCGGAATATGTACAACCAGTAAGATGTATATCGCAGAAGCATTGAAATTGTATGAGAAGCGATTTGATATCAGGATCACAGAAACACGAGGAGGTATGGAAAAGCTATTCTGCTCCCAGTATCCGTTGCAACACTACTACTCGCTTCTGCGATCCTAATAGAAAATCTTTATAAGGAGACATCAAGGTATCAAAATTCCATCGAAATGTAGGAGAAGCAATTTGATATCAGGGTCACAGAAACACGAGGAGGTATCTAAATGCTATTCTGCTCAAAGTATCCGTTGCAATACTACTACTCGCTTCTGCGATCCTAATATATCCATGGTAGATGTTTCGAAATTGTTTGAGAAGCAATTTGCTATCAGGACCACAGGTGCGCGGAGAGGTACGAAAGTGCTACTATGCTCCCGACATTAATGGCAACACCTATCGCCGTTTCTGCGATCCTGATACAAAATCTGAAAAACCTGGAATATGTACATCCAACCATCAGACTTTGAATCTAGACGCGTCAAAATTGTATTAGAAGCAGTTTGCTATCGGAAACAGAATCGTGCGGGGGTATGAAAGTGCTACTATGCCCCCGATAACAATCTAATCTACAGCCAGCAGTCAAATTTTCATAGTAGAAGCGTTGAAATTTTATGAGAAGCAATTTGCTATAAGGATCGCGGAAACGCAAGGAGGCGGTGAAATGGTGTGCTATGCTCCTAGTAATAAAGTTATCAGTAAATTCAAATTTCTTGGCGATACAGAATTTTGTGGTCGAAAGTCTCCAAGCTGACTAAACTTGTTTTCATCCAATCGGGAAAAATTGCTCGCAGAAAAGCAAGGAGGTACTGCATAGGCCGTTATGCTCCAGGTAACAAAGTTAAAGCTCCGTCATATAGCTATCGCCTCTTCTGCCAGTCTGATGCAAATGTATGTGAGCGACTAGACTTTTTTCAAAATCGTCAAATCAACCGGGCGAATCAGGAACGCGGAAATGCGTGAAATTACTTTACATGTCGTGGTTTCACAGAATAGAGTAAAACAACGGTCAATATAAAAAAGGTCTTTAATTAATACACATAAATACTGGAATAAAAAAAGAATTGAAGAATTAGTATTTACAACATATGATATCACATTATTAAAAAATTTAGCTAAATGTACAACCTTCCGTGAAATGTCTGCAAAATCATCTCTACTAGATTCGATTTCTATTAACAATATTTACAAAAAATTATTCTCCACTAGATGATGGAGGGTTTGCATCAGTTGCTTTATCAGGTATCTGTGTAGTAAGGGTTGTCTGCTTGACCACACTCGGACTCATTACTCTCGCAAATACTTGTCTGCCTTGAGCACCTGGAAAAAATAGAGAGAGATCAGAACTTAGCTAATTATTCTGAACATACAATAATTTTGACCCCTACAAAAAAATTTCTAAAAATAACCAGGAACCCCGAAACTTTAAAAAACCAAGTTCATTTCATCAAAATCTGAGGGCTACTTATAAGTTATAGACGTGCCAAGGGCTAGCGGATAATCAGTTGAGCATTGAGGGACAAATTACCACATAAAGCTTGCAGTCGACATATCCTCAACCATAATTCGAAAAAAATATTATGTGAAGCTTTAGTTTTGTCACATTTCAATTATGCAGATTTCCTTTACGACTCTTGCCTCAAACAATCAGATTGTTATAGAATTCATAAGGTTCAATATTTCATATATGAGAAAGCATAACAGTATATCCCATAAAATTAATGAAATTCAATGATTGAACATGGCAAATAGAATACTTTTACATTCCTCATAGTAATAGTATGAATAGTCAAAAGTATATTATAAAATCGTTTAAAAATAAAATTAAAACAAATATAACATTCACTCGTTAAATACTAGAAATAAAAATAAATTCATTATACCTAATCACAAAACCTTATTTAAAAAAAGCTTCTACACAATGCGGTCAGGTTTTAAAACTTTTTGCCGAGTGTTATAAACTCACCTTTTCCTTGAGCTGCGTGCGCTTGCGCGAGCGGTATGACCTTGACGCCCTGCAGCGCCTTGATGTTGATCGCAGTACCCTGGAATCCAGCCGGTAGCAGAATCTGCTGCGCAACGATCTGCCCGCCTTGGCCTTGACTCGCCAATACCACCCGTTGAGGTCCAGCTGCGCCGCCACCAGTACCGCCCCCGCCAGCTGACTGCAGTCGTACCGGGTGCCCCCCAATCACTATGTGACCTTAAAGAGAAAGAAGCATGAAACATTGATATAAACAATAATAGATGCAGATTTTTCAACAAAGTAACCAGCAAATAGTTCACACGCAGTGCTGCGGATTATCGGGTGGTGGAGAGTTTACTAGAAATAGAAATCCTTTAGTAAGTTTGTTGTCGGAGCCCTTTTTCTACCGTAGACATAACTACACTCAACCATCGAGCTGAAAGTGACCATTTTCTCCAAGCCACGTGTTCATTTCCTCAACATGATTTCTAATTCTATAGAGGGCAACCGTCTGCAGTGACAATCCGAGGCGAATTTAAGTATGACTCACGTCTGTGAAGAGCAGTTCCCCAGTTCTGTGAACCCTCATTGTTCGAGGTAATTAGGATTTTTTTTACTTTGCTAGGTCTGTCTTAATCTCGGACAAATTGAAAACACAACCACTTCGTTCTAAAATTAAGCATAAAACTATCAGTAATTTTATTTGTGCCAGTTTAGGCGTTCTTATGTAACATTAGGGTTATACTTTAACCATTTAATTATCCACCACTTAGGTCAATATGCAATTAGTCAAAAGCTATTGATTCATCAACTTATTTAGTAGTAAAAAGAAAGAAATGTTTTGGATTTCTCATTGGTAACATTTGTAAATTGTTCTGTATCATAGTACATACACTGAGAATAATATAATGTAATTTGTATGTTACTGTAGCTTCTGATTTTGGTTGTATATTTCTGAAATATGAGTGAGCCATGATCACGATGTACTATAAAATATTCCTGTGGCTCTCAAGTAACATTTTAATTGCTTTACTTATAAGCTGAGGGAGGACATGAAATATTTTACCTCCGTGTAACCTATGTTTTTTACAGGTATCTGATTATTTTAATTTAGTTCAGGTTAATTTAATAATTCGGGTATTGCTGGTGCAATCACGATTTTCCTTGTATAGCGTGATTGAATAGCAACCTTGTTTTGATTTTAAATTTTGAATTGATGTAACCCAAGACTAAATGGTTCCATATTAAAGTTAAATTTTTAATTCTTGGAAGCAAATTAAAATGGGGGATTAGTAGTCAAAGCGTAGAATGACGCTGTCCGTCACTCAGTCTAACAAAAAATTGAAATTTGTAGTAATGGGAACTAAAAGATCGCAGGGTGTGGACTTTTCCGATTTTTTTAAAGCCTGAAAAGTACACGACTTTTTTTTTATATGTTTCTGATAACTATTACGGCTTGGCTTATCCCCCGTTTCAGGCTTGACGTCGCTTCCGGACACCCTGTATACGATGTTTCGTCAGCAATTCTAATCAGTTTAGTAGAAATAATACCTTGCGATATACCCTGTTGAACAGCTGCAGCGGTCGCTTGTTGCGCTGCTTTACCGCCCGTCGACGAGAACACCACCTGCTGCGGCTGTTGCACCTTCACCTGCGGACTGAACACCAGGTTCGACTGGTTAATCAGGTTAAGATTATTTGCGTTGGCTTGTTGCTGTAACGTCGAGGCGGTAGCCGTGGCTGCTTTAGCAGCTGCAGCGCTCTGGAAGACCAAACCGCCGCTCGCATTGGTAGGCGATTGTAACACAACGTTCTGACCTAGAAAGATAGGAATGGTAAATAAACAAGCAGGTTAAACCCAAGAGTATTTATATGAAGACAGGCAAGGTACAATGCGTCCTACCCCAAATCAATTACTCGCCCCTCAATTTCCTTTACAACTTTTTACCGCCCCTTGGGGACGTTATAGCCCATTTTGAGAAACACTGGTGTCAGTGTTTGGGAGATGCTTCTGGTCTGTCACCAACAGCTCTTTGCTTCGAACGTATCGCCCAAGGAGAGCGTTACTATGAAGGCAATATCCATGAGCAAGGTTATCACCTTGAAATGTTTCTAAAGAAAATATGGTTCATAACGAGAACTGTTATAAATATTGTCGAAGAGAGATTGATCATTTCAAAAATATCCTTATGAGCTTCCTTTTTCAATTTATAATGACTTTATAATTGATCATCACAGGCACACCTTGACTATCCAGCGAAAATCGCAAAACATTAATTAGTTTAAATTGGTAATTTTGAACGACTTGGGACAAAAACAGAACAGAAAAATCGCCCTAAATAAAAAAGAATCAAATTATCAGGTTTAGTTTTTTGTGTTTTTGTCCTTAGCCAGGGTTGTTATATTTTAATCAAAATGTTTAAAACAATGAAGGTGTTTTAAGCCAATTTGTTTTAAACACTGTTTTTTTGTCGTTTGTGACTTATTCAAGTTTTTTTTTATATCTTTTTAAGTATGATCAAAATTGATTTTATTAGGCAAAACGAAAGTAACAGGGCCATAGGTTAAAACACATAGGTACTAAAAAATACTAGTAATACTAGTGGAAAAAAATATGTTTTATAACGAACGAGTGAACTTAATAAAGTGCATTGAACTCATACTAGGACACTACAAGCAGCAGAATAATCATATAATACGACTATGTATTTATTTGTATTATAACATTAAATTAGTTACTTAACAAATTTCTATAAACATATATATATATATACGAGCCCTGTCAAACTTCAGTTGGCCCACACACAAAATTTGTAGTTTTTTTGACTTTTATCGGCAAAAAACCCACTAAAATATAGGAGATATAAAAGATATCGTAAGTTATAAGACTAAATATGCTATTTATAGCAATATAGGAAATATAGAGATTCAATGTTGTAACATAAAAAATCGGCAACTGTGTAAAAAAACTTCAATACCCAAATATTGCTAACGATGATTTGTCAAGAAGGACGTGGTAACAATGCTTGTTTGTCAACGATGCTCGCTTGTTTTAGCGAACACTAGTTTATCAGGCGGCCGTACCTCGTAATTGCTGTCAAAAATGGGCAGAGGAAAGGCGATAGATGAAAACATTCGATCAATTATCATTAATTTGCATAAATCGGGAAAATCAAATATTGTAAGATTATACGAATCAAATGGTTCAACTGCCCAAAAACCCAGATATGTAAAAAAATCCAAATTAACAGACCCTGATAGACGAGCTTTCGGCAGAATTGTCAAGTCTAATAGACGTGCTAACTACGGAGAGTTGAGTGTACTCTGGAGTGAAGCTGTTAGAAGACGTGTTTGCAGGTCTACATGTCATTCAGAAGCAAGAAAACTAGGCTATGGTTCTTACAAGGTAAGTTTCACGAGTTCAATCCTAAGACACCAAGAGCTAATTATTGTTTCCTTTGGAGCAGGCTAAAGAAAAACCATTATTGACCCTAAAGCAGAAGCAAAATAGGTTAAAATGGGCTAAAAAACATCGAAATTGGGATATGGAGAGGTGGAATCGTGTGCACTGGAGTGACGAGTCACGATTCGAACTTTGCGTCGGTGATAGTCGGAGCAGAATTATTCGCCAAAAACAAGAAACTTATCATCCTGATTGTCTCAATCGCAAAGTTAAATTTCCATCTTCAGTAACGTTCTGGGCTTCAATGTCGGCAAGAGGAGTTGCAAATTGCATTTTGTCAATGGCATTGTTAACTCAGATAAATATTTAGACATCCTAGAGAAATTTTTGTTGCCTACTTTGGAGCAGATCGAGCAGGATCTCTGGAAATCACTTCATCTTCCAGCAAGACTGCGCCGCCTGAAATACTTAAAAAACCATGAAATGGCTTTTAGACCATGAAGTACCACTCCTAGAATGGGTTTCTAGTAGTCCGGACCTTTCACCCATAGAGACCTTATGACACATCATGAAAAAGAGGCCAAGAGCCTATCCTGCCAGAGCTGCGCAAGAACTCAAGGAAAAACTGCAGAACATTTGGGATAATTTCACTCCAGATGAGTTTCAGGACGTAATAAATACTTTGCCTCGACGAATTGAAGCTGTAATTAAAAATAAAGGTGATGTTACTCAGTGGTAAAATGAGTTACGAATTCTTGTTTCTTAGAGATAAAAATCACAAATTTTGTTGTTTCCCCCTTGTTCGCTCTAGTCAGCTCCAAGTGTTATAATTAGTTTAGTTTTTTGTGTAATAGAATTTTAAGATGCAGTTTGCAAAATAAAAATTAAGAATTATGCCTCTATTAGTTTAAATGATCGTCAATATATGCCAACAATTGCAAATTTACCAAGTGGGTCAACTGAAGCTGGACGAGCAGGGCTCGTACATATATACAGGGTGTCCGCAAAGTTGGGGTTTTCCTTTTCAGAAACAACTACCCTAGAAATAACAAATGTAATGTGTAGTGAAACGAGGGCGACCAAGTAAAAAAAATAAAGGAAAAAGTACTCACTCTCCAGTTGACGAGAAGGGCTAAGTACGTCTCTGCCCGAAATCATACCGCTCCAACAGAAAATGAAATCAGCTGATGCGCTACCAAGCAGACGCCGGCGGTGGTGCAGACCACGAACAGAGGTAACAAATATGACCATCGTGCAGAAACCACATTGATTGTCTTACACTTAATGGCGCATCTTCTAACAAGGAACGCAAAATGTTGCGTAGAAAGTCTAGGTATTGCATCCCGTCCAATCGATTTGGGAGAATAAATGGTCCAATAAGCATACCGTTCACCATGCCAGCCCAAACATTCAACGAAAATGTTTGTTGAAAATGTGCCCGACGGACAGCTTGCGGATTTTCTACTGACCAAACATGAGTGTTGCGAAAGTTATTCACCCCATTACGCGTGAACGTAGATTCGTCTGTCACCAATATGCACTTCAAAAGGTCCAGATTATTGTCATGTTGATGCAACAACCATTCACAAAACCGCACTCTTGCTGGAAAATCGTCAGGTTGAAGGGCTTGTACACGTTGGACGTGCCACTTTAGTTTTTGATACTTGCACTTCTCTAGCCACGTCTCTAGTGCTTGTTGTTTTTTGAAACGCAATCGATTATACGGGTTCGTTTACCTCTACACGCGTGACCTAGTTCTGTCGTCGGGTTGAGCTAGTGTCCTAGTACCACTCGGGGATGTCGCGAGTCGCGGCTACAGGACGGTATTCAGATATTTTTGATGTTGCAGAGCCCTTTATCTCGGTTCCCTTAAGCCATTGGTGTATATGGTACTAAGAAAAATTGCTTATGTTTTCAAGATCTACACGTCGTGTAAAGGAAAACCCCAACTTTGCGGACACCCTGTATATATACATATATATCCCCTGTGAGGTCTTAAGTCACCTGATTCACGAGCCCTTTGTACTACATTAACAAAGGCACGAGGGGTTGGTTGCACTCGATTAAATAAGAATCATGTCCACAAGTTCAGCATTTTCGTAAACATGTGCCATTTTTTATTTCGTTTGAGCCACGCAACAAACACCACTATTCACTCACGCGTTACCGTCTGAAACATTGACTGACATCCTGATAAACGTTTCAAATTCTTTCGCTTTTTTGTTTCCGATGCGATGAACAGATAAGGCGGATTATATCTGTTGTTGCCAAACACGAGCACATAATATTATTATTGAGACAGGGCGGTACTCAAACTTCTAAAGGGCTATAACTTTGTTAATTTAATTTTACCAGAAAAATGTTAAAGGAAAAAAAACATTTCTTTTGATCAGATCTACTCACTGTTAAAATAAATGACTCAACTTCGAAGTCACCCTGTATATATAACAAGAAATCAAAAATCCTTAAATCCATCTTTTTTTTTAATATAAAGTCACGAAAAATGTACATAGAATAAATTTTTATTTATATATATATATATATATACCTAACTTTGAGGTAATAGTTTCGGTAGAAACATCATCATTGTCGGTAAATCAGAACTATCTGATATATGAATAATTTGTTTTTGTAACAAACTTCCTTGTTTATTTTTAATATGCTTGCGCATTCTAGCCACCAGTGGCACTATATCCATGTTGCAGCTCTTTTATTTATTTTCGAGCCAGCTTTGGCATCAGTCTCCTTAAAATATTTCCACACGGGATCCTTTCTCCTCCCTGCCATTGCCTTTCTTTTTTTTGCCGTTCTTTAATGCACAAAAAACAAAACACACCACCACGCTACGACTTCGCACATTTGACTGCTGGAGATCGCAATACGAAAAAATTACCCAAAGTGTACCTACTTCCCCGACATCCGCACGGTAGTTTCCAGACCGCCTTTAAATTAGAGATGTGCTCTGATAGAGCTGGATCAAAAATAGTAATGACACTTTCAAGTAACTTCATTAACGTAGCTAGATTATATAGTTTTTAATTTTTTTTACTGTTTTAAACATGTTTTAACATGTTTTTTTAACAGCTAAATTTGAATGTTTTAAACAAAAAAAAGTTTTAAATAAAAAAAATCATCCAAATCCGAGCAATGATTCGCAAATATTATAGAATTAGCCGAAATATATACCGACGGAAATGAGCGACATGGTTTTTCGTGATGTATAGGTATTGTATTTATTACGAAATTTTACAATACTTCCTCGGCAGTAGGTGTGGGAAGTAAAAATTATGCAAATTTTTACTTTGAAACAGCTCGATATTGAAAAAGCCGATATTTTTTGAACTGGCAGACCCTACATCAAGACCTGAGAGTCGATGTTTTCAAGGCAGACAACCCTAATTTTTAATGATCCGCGAAATTTTACGGTCGACGTACCTTGAAAATTTTGCACAGTTCCCCCTTTGCTAGCCAACAGGACCGGCTTTCCAGCAATCTGCGTGAGATTCAAGTTGGCAGCATTCACCATCCGTATATTATTGGCGTTTCCAGCTACAGTCAGCGTTAGTTGCTTCGAGAATGGCACGTTTTTCACGTTGGGCAGCTTCACTTGGTTCTGCTGCCCTATAACAATCTTCGATGGTACTATCTTCTGGCCGTCAATACTCTGAAAAAAAAACCAAAATAAATCCTGACATCCTGCTTCCAGATATCTAGAAAGAATTTGAGATGTAGCTGAAACTCGGAATATTTTCTATCGAGAACGTATAAAGTTTTCGAATGAAAAAATTGTCGGTCGATAAGGCAATATCATCCGTTCATATTTCGATCAACGGACCAATGAGCTCGTTCACATTCTTTTAAAACTTCTTAGACTTGAAGAGATATTCGATATTCCTTACCCCACATAATGAAAATACTGTTTGTAGTCAAAATGTTTTCAAACTTCAGGCCATTTGCCATTTTCGCGTTGATACTTTTTTTGCGTCAGGGGTTAAAAAGCATTTTTTAATTTGCCACACCTTTTTAATAAATAAGAGGAAATGATGGTGTGATTCCTCTTTCCTATTTTTTTTTAAAAAAGGCGTGGCAAATTTCGTGGCGCCCCACTACACTGAAGCAGCCGGGCAGGCAGAAGCCTAAATGCCAGGGCAACGCGGCTACTATGAGGATCCCAAGGATGCTTTGTTAATCCGATTTTTTAACTGCCTTAGGTTAGTAGAACTGGGAAAAGCCTCCTCTTGTAGATTGTTCCACACTCTCGAGACCCTAGGGACAAAGGAGCGGCCGTATCGGCCAGTTCTGGATGTACAAAGTACGAAGCGGTCAGGATGGGAGGCGGAAGTTAGGCGGGCACACCGCGTGGCGGAGGAGAGCTCTGAGGAGCGGTAGAAGAGTGTTAGATTTCCGACGGCTCGCCGGTGAGAAAGGGTCCCGAGACTGTCTGTCAGAGAGAGTCATTGATCAGTCGGCCAACCCTTCTCTGAACAGCATCGAGCATGGATAATGTAGTCAGAGTGGCAGTACCCCAAACGTGTGAGCAATAGTCAAGGCTAGGTATTATCAGGGCCTTGTATAGAGTGAGGTCATGTTTTTTTACACTCCAACCACCTAAGGACTAAACACCCATGGGGTATCGTGGGGCTATAGTGAATACAGGATAAAGGGGGGGTGCCACACGAACTCTAGCGAAGGAACACTGGTGCATGCAACAAGCACACATTCTTGCCCCGTGTAGGAGATCCGCCGGGTGGTACCTTCGCGTTCGGCAGTCAGAGGCCGTCTACCACCTAGGAAGAGTCACAACATCCATAGAGAATTTTTCCCTTAGGACGAGATTCGAACCCGCTTAAATCACATTGATCAATATGAATGACAATTCTTATTGTGTTTTGCTTGGTTTAGCTTATTTATAGCATCTGGATTAGATATCTTCTTTATGTGTCTAACTTTTGTCTTTTTTTACAACCATTATCGATTCAAAATATAACAAAGTGAAGAGATCCTACTGGTTGCTCTGACAAAAAAAACTCACGAGTAGTTCGCTTCTACGGACAAAATGATTGTAATAATGTTGGAACTTTCCTACCATTTCAGAGGTGATCAACTGCTGGGCAGCCTTCGCATTAAGCTTAGCGAACATCTGCTGCGTCTTGTTGGCAGCCTTGGATGTCGGTTTGGTAGTTGTGGCCATCGAGGTGATCGTCGAAGCCTGTGAAGCCATGACCAGCTTCGGTTGTGACGTTAACGTTAGTATGTTGGTGGCCTGGCTGCCCACTGCTAGTTGAGCGATTGCGTTCTGCTTCGTCGTGCTGCCTGTTAAATGGATTAAGTTTTGTTGGCCTCCTTTCGTACTTGATACTCGTAACGTCGTACCTAGAAAATAAAAACAATATACACTTCATCCCACTTTATAGTGACAGAAATGTTGGCGATTGATACTCAAGGAAAGCATGACATCTGCAAAACATGTAACGTGTTTTTCGTGCCTTTTTATAGAATGATACCAAATGATATTTAGTATATTGTGAAGAACGATATTAAATACTTATTAGTTTCCTACATGTGATGGTACTATAATGCGTATAACTGATGCAAATATAGCATTTGGATGAAATATTAAACAAATCATACGATTATAAAATAAAAATCTCAGCATAAATCAAATAACTACACTTACCTTGAGGCAAAGATCCATGCTGTTTTTGATGCGCCAATAAACTTTCTACTGATATCACTTGCCCACTTGCGTTCGTTAGTACCTTTGCTACCACAGGCCCTTGAGGTGTTGATGTAGTTTTCGTCAAGGTGTCTAAAACAAACAAATTAATTTATTCCAGGTGAGCTCGCCAAAAACAAAGAAAGTACTAGTACAAAAACCAGATTCCTCTTCCTGGACAAAGAATAAATAATCGAACCATTGTGAACTTGAAATAGGATTTTTTGATTTTCAAAGATGGTTTCTTTTGTCTCTAATGTAGCCTAAATATTTTATCATGTTTTTATGTTAATGTTAACAATGTCTTCTACTTAAAACCTACTGAAAGTGCTACCCAAAAATGTGACAGACCAATATCTGAGAAGTAGTAGCAAAATGACAACAATATTTACTGCGAAATTTTAGTTGACAAAACAACAAAAAAATACTTACCCGACACAATTTTCTGTTGGGCAATGATCTGTGCTGCACTAACAGCACAATTCTGCTTCTGGACTTGCAACAATCCTCCCTTTTTCAGAATGATTTGCTGTTGCCCAGACAACAGAGCCGAGTTTGGCAAGATTTTCTGCTTGATGGTCTGTAGAATCTGCTGTTGTCGAGCAGGTGAAAGATTCTTGTGACCTTTGATTTGAATGTTGGGCTGACCAACCAGTTGCTCCACCTACAAGACAGATAGTTTAAGTGATATACAAAAGCTAATAATGCCACACTCGTAGCGTTACGCTAACTTGGATTTATGAGGTAAATGACATCTACCATATGAATTAAAAAAACAAACTTTTACGAATTCAGGCTGTGTAGAAGGAGCCAGCCAATGATTTTTTAAAGTCTGTAGTGATGATCAAAGTGCATTTGACGGAAGTCAATCGTTTGATAGTATTGTCATTAAATTAGTATTTCACGAGTTATTTTTTAAAAGTGAGACTGTTTGCAGATAATTGTGGTGTTAGACGATTTCAAAAGTATGCGCTAAAACTACGCAATTTTGGCGACTAGCAATGGAATGTAAACATATGGGCACTGAGGCCGAATTTGGGATGCCCGAACGATTCAAGGTCCTGAATTCCTGAATAGTTTTTAGTTCTGATTGCGCCAAAATTTGTTATGATTGGGAATAGGGCAGCGTTATCGTATTTGTTAACTAAACGTCATCCCTGCCCTAAAAGATCGTCAACAACGCCGCGTTTAGCAGGCCCATAACATAAACAATATTCGCCTAGTTGGATTGAAAAACCAACAAAATCATTTGGTTACGTATTAAACTTTTTTCTACAAAACCGATTTTTAAAAAGGTTGAAGCATTATAATATGTAGCAAACGACGCACCTTCTGATCTACGATATTTTAAGAATAACCGATAAGTTTGGGCAAGTATACTACTTATGCTATGGTATAGTATGTTCTTAAAGTAAAGTCTCTACACAGCACATAGTTTATGTAATACGCAAATTTTTCTAGTAACACATATACCAAACCTTTAAGATAACACAGATATTATGTTTAGAAAAAATTTAAATGGGACATTCAGGTCCGGCATCCGACATGAAAAGTGAAAAAGTACAACGTGCGCCAATATTCAAATCCGATACTATATGTGTGAATGTGAAACCATTAACAAATCCGAATTTGAAAAACCTAAATTCGCACATTCCTATGGCAATAACATACTTATCCGATTTGGTGTTACTTTACGTGAGCGTGTTCAAGAGACTTCGCGAGTGTATTCAGAGCATTTTCCTGGACGTTTGCATCCTGAACTGCTAGGTTTATTTATATCGTGCAAAAACGTCGCAGTTGACAACCTTGAAAGCTTCAAATTGAGAAAGAAGTCAACAAACATGTGATAGGATTTCCTTATTAAATGAATAGTGAGTACTTTATCAATATGTATTTTTTTAGTTTTGGCTGCTGTTTTATCGCACTTAAGTTCTGTTGTTTCTGAAAAGGAAAGTCTGAACTTTCAGGATACCCTGGTATATTGTGCAAAATAATGCACGTCCACGCACAAGCCTCTGTGGGTCGTGCTTTGCTCTTACTTTGCACGTATTTCTATGTTATATTTTTTTGTAAATAATCCTACATCCATATTATCAGTTTACCTACCTTCGAAGATGACAACGTGCTCTGTCCAGATGTGATCGGCGCCGATATCACAATCGCCGCCGACGTCGACGTAAGACTCTGCCCTCCAGCTTGCGACGTTCTCAGCAGCGTGACATTCTTGATGTTCTGCAGCTGCTGAGCGGTGGCCGTTGCTGTTGCCACGCTGGTCACCACGTCCTTGGTGGAGCACTCCACCAGGTCGGGCGTCTGTTTCAGGGGGGAAAGTTTGTGGGTCTGGGTGGAGATCGGTTGCAGAGACGGTTGGAGTTGTTTGGTGGTGGTGGGCTGTTCGTGGACGTGTTGTTTCACTAGTTGGGCGGCGTTTGGATTGGATAGAATCAGGGATTTGCCTTGGGCTGATGGTATGATCTTCATCAAGCTCTTACCTGCGAATTATATAGTGTTGCCTAGATAATAAGAGCGAAGATCAACGAAATATACATTTACTTAAAAATAATTCTGACTGACAGAAAGTGATAGTCGGCTGTTTAATTGCTCAAAGCAGAACTACTACGGCAGGTTGTTACGTAAAAAATATCACTTTTCAAGATACGGAATACCTCTGCCGACCAGAAAATTGTTCAATAATGTTTTCAAATTGTGGAATATTGTAAACCCCGACGCAGGATGAAAATGTCCACGGATCAAAGTAATTGTACGGGTACGGGGCACGATATCCAGGAAATGGGGTTATTTTCAGTGCATTAACTTTTTTTGTGAACGCGAGGTGGCAAAACTTTCTATCCAAGGATCAAACCTAAGATTTCGCGCCAAAGCTGTAACTTGAGTCAGTTCTTCCAAGCACTGTTCGTAGAATGTGACCAGACTCTGGAGTTTGAAAATAATCACGTTATAGGTTTTATCAATACCTAAAATTTACATATATCAAGTTCTATTGACTGATCTCTTTGGCAATAAACACAGAGAAGATTTGGTGCTATCTACTGCCTTCCATGTCAAAAGACTGTCTTAGAGCAAATATATATATATATATATATATATACAGGGTGTCCGCAAAGTTGGGGTTTTGGGGTAATGTGTAGTGAAACGAGGGCGACCAAGTAAAAAAAAATAAAGGAAAAAGTATTCACTCTCCAGTTGACGAGAAGGGCTAAATACGTCTCTGCCCGAAATCATACCGCTCCAACAGAAAATGAAATCAGCTGATGCGCTACCGAGCAGACGTAAACAGTCTAGGTATTGCATCCCGTCCAATCGATTTGGGAGAATAAATGGTCCAATGAGCCTACCGTTCACCATGCCAGCCCAAACATTCACCGAAAATGTTTGTTGAAAATGTGCCCGACGGACAGCGTGCGGATTTTCTACTGACCAAACATGAGTGTTGCGAAAGTAATTCACCCCATTACGCGTGAACGTAGATTCGTCTGTCACCAATATGCACTTCAAAAAGTCCGGATTATTGTCATGTTGATGCAACAACCACTCACAAAACCGCACTCTTGCTGGAAAATCGTCAGGTTGAAGGGCTTGTACACGTTGGACGTGAAACGGATACAGCCCCTCTTCACGCAGCGTTTGTCACACTTTAGTTTTTGATACTTGCACTTCTCTGGCCACGTCTCTAGTGCTTGTTGTTTTTTGAAACGCAATCGATTATACGAGTTCGTTTACCTCTACACGCGTGACCGTAACCGTCGGTTGAAGGTTGCATACTGACCTGACACACTGACCCCGACCCCCGACCCAGTTCTGTCGTCGTGTTGAGCTAGTAGCCGGTACCGGGATATCGCGAGTCGCGGCTACAGGACGGTATTCAGATATTTTTGATGTTGCAGAGCCCTTTATCTCGGTTCCCTTAAGACATTCGTGTATATGGTACTAAGAAAAGTTGGTTATGCTTTCAAGATCTACACGTCGTGTAAAGGAAAACCCCAACTTTGCGGACACCCTGTATATATATATATATATATATATATATATATATATAGGTGAAAAATTAAAGCTTACGCCTTTTGTTGGGTACTTCGACAAAATTAAGCAAAGAGGACTCTTTATACTTTTTTAATTCTCTCTAGCTTTCAATGGACTTTGCCATCATCATCAGGAGCTGCAATTACAATGATAACAGTAGCAACAAAGGTGTAAAATGAATTTAAATTGACTCAACTTACAGTAGTATGTGAGGATGTTGCTAATTGTTGTTTACGTATAGGATGAGGGAAACGTCCAGTAACATGGTGAGAGCTGGATAGTTGTACAATGGTCAAAATTATATACAATATGACAAGAACAAGTTAAAAACAGATTAAAAATTATTTAAAAGACATTAGAGCATTACATCGTGAAGCCACTTGATGATTGCACAAATTAGTGGTCATGGAATAGTGAGTGACATGAAATTTTGTCGAAGTACCCAACAAAAGGCGTAAGCTTTAATTTTTCACCTAACTGGTCTAGACGACAATGACCACGTCTCAAGTTATATATATATATATATAACAAAAAGTAGGAAAACAATGGGCAAAATCCAAAAAAGGAGGAAAGTGAATTCGAGCAGAAAATAGGATAGGTAACCCGAGCGATACGTATTTCTGCTGGTTGGCTTCATCAGGAAATGAATGCACATATGAAACTACAAAAGTAGACACACATGCCCACACATCCGGATAAGGGTATACCTGCGGAAACGAAGATGGAGAGGGAAAAACGACACACGAAGTCCGCAACAAGAGCCAACCTACACATTGTAGCATAAAATGGCTAGAAGACCTCGAATTTTCAAGGAGACATCTAACCACAACCACGCGGCTGGTTATAGCCACTTGCTGTGGTACTTCAAGCCCAAAGGATCTACAAAGAAAAAATTATCATGCGGAGAAAGGTATATATATGCTCGAATTCACTTTCCTCCTTTTTGTGGATTTTGCCCATTATTTTCCTACTTTTTGTTATATACCTTTCTCCGCATGATCATTTTCTATTTGTAGATCCTTTGGGCTTGAAGTACCACAGCAAGCGGCTATAACCGGCCGCATGGTTGTGGTTAGATTTCTCCTTGAAAATTCGAGGTCTCCTAGCTATTTTATACTACAATGTATAGGTTGGCTCTTGTTGTGGACTTCGTGTGTCGTTTTTTCCCCTCTCCATCTTCGTTTCCTCAGGTTATACCGGTATCCGGATGTGTGGGCATGTGTTTCTACTTTTGTAGTTTCATAATCGCATTCATTTCGGGCCTGATGAAGCCAACCAGCAGAAATACGTATCGCTCGGGTTACCTATCCTTTTTTCTGCTCGAATTCACTTTCCTCCTTTTAGGGGATTTTGTCCACTATTTTCCTACTTTTTGTTTTACACCTTTCTCCGCATGATCATTTTCTCTTTATATATATATATATATATATACAGGGTGACTTCGAAGTTGAGTCATTTATTTTAACAGTGAGTAGATCTGATCAAAAGAAATGTTTTTTTCCTTTAACATTTTTGTGGTAAAATTAAAGTAACAAAGTTATAGCCCTTTAGAAGTTTGAGTACCGCCTTGTCTCAATAATAATATTATGTGCTCGTGTTTGGCGACAACGGATATACTCCGCCTTATCGGTTCATGTTCATCGCATCGGAAACAAAAAAGCGAAAGAATTTGAAACGCTGATCACGATGTTTTTATTCAGTCTGTGTCAGTCTGTAACGCGTGAGTGAATAGTGAGTGGTGTTTGCTGCGTGGCTCAAACGAAATAAAAAATGGCACATATTTATGCGGATCGGTTTCCCAATCGAGTGCAACCAACCCCTCGTGCCTTTGTTAATGTAGTACAACGGGCTCGTGAATCAGGTGACTTAAGACCTCACAGGAGACGCCATGCCGGTGCTCCAAGACCTCACGATCAAATACAGGTCCGCACTGAAATAGTTGTCGGGAGAATACTTTATAAAACAAGGTAAAAAAATTTTTTCAATTTTTTTTTATTTTTACACACATATTTTGGTTTGTCTTCCTTCTACAATCATTATCTGAAAATTAATGACTCAACTTCAAAGTCACCCTGTATATATAACAGTCAGGCTAATGTTGTGGAATGTTATCAATTGAAAAGTACATTTTCCGACTCAACTATGTCCAAGTTAGATTATCGACTATCCAGTTTTGAAATTACCCTACAGTTATGCACAATAAAAACTCACCAGCTCTGACAGATGGACTATTTCTATTCTGCATGAACACCTGCAGGGCCTCATTGACATCAGCCTCAGACACAGTCTTTTCCACGTGGACCTGTTCGATAGTCTCAACATTAACCTTCGCCTCGCCCCTCTGTTGCTGCTGCTGCTGTTGTTGCTCTGTCTCTTTAAGAACGGACACGTTGTTGTGCAGCAAGAGGCTGGCACCCTTCGCTGAAGACGTCGGCGAAGCAGTAACCTGTTGCCAGTACTTTCATCAGTCTCAGACTCTTTATTTTGCAGTGAATCGTATTTATGATCTTGGCGAAAATTTTTTTGTTCAATGTATACTTTTTGTAACTACCAATAAATATTACATTACGAGTATTATTACATTCCAGAACTAAAAAAGAAAGACTGAAGCTAAATTCAAACGTTTTCCATGCACTTCTTGATGTCTTGACAGATCTGAGAATCTAAGGGACTGATTGATTCATACCATAATTGGTATAATAATATGGAATAGCAAACATTTCTGTATAGCACGTACGACTTTCACTTACTTTAATATTTACTTAGGCAAGGACCTGTAGGCAATCTCTCGCACCATTAAGTATTTTGAAAACAAAAACATTAATAACAAATTTCTCTACAGTGTTCCAAGGAGTTCGGGTTCGGCTTACTCGTTAATTGAAGTTTCGACTCTAACCCAAATTAAAAGCTGCTTGTTTCAAAAATTTATTTTTTCTGCTTTAATAGAGCTAATGTCACCAATTAAATTCAGTGACAATATTACAGAGTTATACTCAAAGACAGCTGCACCAAGAGCAATATAACAGTCGAAATACCTCTATAGAGAGATGTTTTGTAAATCTAAAAATGTATCCCAAAATTTTATGAGATGTCTCTAATGTGTGATTTGAAAGTTGAATTTCTTATCTACTATTTCACCACACATTGGTTTCGTTATTTCAACCGTCGTGTCAGAACACCAGTGTGTGCTCTGTGTTAAGACTTATTACAAAAATGGAGATTCTTGCACTATCTGAGTTCAGTTTACATGATCTAAATCAATTTCCTAGTGGATCAGTAACCTGCGGTCGTCCAAGGTCAATACAAACAGAGGAAACTGTAAACGAAGTTCCGACGTCCATACGGCGCGATCCTCAGTTATCATCCCGAAAGAGATCAGCTGTAAGGCGTATTTTGGTAAATTGCATCCATATAAACTTCTTCTAGTGCAGATCGTGGAACAATGTTAGAGCGCTTTTGAAGTTTGAACAATATTCTCTTTTCTGGTGAAGCTCATTTTCATTTGAGTGGCAAAATTAGTGGTATTGGGCCGCAGAAAACCCCAAATTAAAATACCAATGACCTTTGCATCCCCGTTATGTTACAGTTTGGGCGGCCATGTCGGCTGAAGGAATCATCGGACCCTATTTCTTCTTCTTTCCACAACTGCATAATTTTGAAGCCTACCGTAGCAGGGCCTGATTTCAACAAGATGGCGCGACATCCCATACCGCCAATGAGTCCTTAGCAGCTGTAAACGAAATGATTAGTGGAAAACTAATTTCGCGACGAGGGCACATTCCGTGGCTTCTCCAAAGTCCATATCTCGCGCAACTGGATTTTTTCTCTGGAGATACCTCAAGAGCCGAGTTTACGTCAATAAACCGACGACGACTGCCCAGCACAACATTTCCGAGGAGATGCCCGCTATCCCACGAGCGATATGCCAGCGAGTTTTCACGAATTTGAAGTCGAGATTCGAGGAGTGAGTACGTCTCGATTTCTCACATCTCAATGATGTCATTTAAGACAGATAAAATTCCTATAAGTCTACTTTATTGTAAATATAATAAATATAAAGTATCTTCTCTACGCTTTGTAGTTTTTTTCTGATTTTTTAAAATTCGCTCGACTTAATGGCCCACCCTGTAGAAAAAACATAAGATTGTTATATACCATCGTGATCACATTGGAAGACAGATTCTGTGTACCAGAAGCTACAACAATCTCGGTCGTAGGAGGCGTCGCCTTGAGCGGGGGCCGGTGTTGTGGAGTGTTCGGCCTCGTTGTGGACACAGTGCTGGCGTCCGACTTCACCTTTAGTTTCTCTGATGGCTGTTTCTCTTTAGGTTTCGAAGATTTCTTTGTGGACGGCTTCTTCACCTTCGGTACACCTGGAAACAATAAAAACACTCAATGAACGTACGTTGTTTTTCTTGTATCGTTCACGGCTTTTAGCGGTGGTGTGTTCCATCCAACAATGACATTGTGACTGTGCCGAACAATTCTACAGTAGATCAGATTAGTTCAGTATGAAGTTCAGGAACACTGTATCATTAATTGCTTGGATAACATCCTTGTTGGCACAAGCTGGTTGTTGAGAGAAACAATTACATCATTCAAATACCGATGATGTATAAATATATGATTACATCTTCCTTATAATCTATCCAGGTTATCAGAAAAGCTGGTAAATTGAAAGTGAGACATTACTTTATCCAAAAAAAAAACAAACTATAAAAGCAGAAATAATTTTCCACGAAATAGTTGATACAAGCTCATTCAAAAAAAACAATGAACTCTACCGACATTTCAGCATGAAAAAGCAAAAACTTTCCAGGTACAGAGTTCCTACATTTTAAAAAACATGCAATGGTTGGGGAAACCACAGTAAAGTTCGATGATCCTGTAAGCGTTGATGTGACTGTTCTCAAGAGAAAAAGGTATAGATCAGAAACTGTTGCTTGACCTTATCTTTCTAATTCGGTGATGTGAAAATTATAGCTAAATTTAAACAATGAAAGGACTAATTATTGACCACATATATTATGTATATTTTGAAAGCGATTGCTACACGTTGATTCATAACTAGCCATCTTTTGTAAAATGAAAATTTTTGTTAGACGCTACTCAGCTTCCCCAGAGCGTTATGCCATATGTAATGTAACTATGGAACATGCTAAAATACAACACTACCTACAAAGTATGGTTATCAAGGCCTCTGCGATATATATATATATATATATATCGCTGATCCCTGCAGTATCCCGTTGCAAATAGGCAAAAAAATCAGGGGCGGTGCCCTCAGAGCTTACAAACTGCCTCCTGATTGACAAATACAAACGAAATAGCGCCATATAGGTATTTCTTATGCCATAGTATTCCAGTTTTTTCATTAGTATACGTGAATTGACGCAAATGCTTTCGATGAGTCACACATGGTAGCTATAGTATTAGAGAAGTGCTTTTATTGTGGTTGAATTTTTCCGAAATCCAAATTGTGCTACAGATAGGTTAGATTTACCTTCGCAGTAGCTTGTTGATTTACCTCATTCACAATAATCTTGAATATTTTCCCAATTATAGGTACAATCGCAATTGGTCTGTAATTATCGGAGGAGTCTCTGTCTCCTTTTTTATGAAAAGGTATAATTTTAGAAGTTTTGAATACATCCGGCCAATTACCCTCGCGATAGATTTTATTATAAAAGAGCCGTGAAATATTCCTTTAATTTTCTTTTAAACACCTTTAAATTACAAGTAGGACTTCATATCATTATTTAGCTTATTAAATTTGAGTAATCCTTTGTGAAATATTGATTTGCTAGTTATATTACTATTGCAATTTTGTAAATGAAAATCTATCTTTCTTCTTGTATAATAGCTGTGGTAATGATTGGAGTGTAGTGTTCTAAATGTTATGACAAAAGACGATTTTTTATTTTAAATATAAAAATAAGAGCCAAATATGATATGAAATTTTTTATATTCAACCACTACAATTCTTATAACATAGATTTAATTTTGGTGTACCTATTTTTATTCAATATTATTCTCATAGCTTTATTTTGCAGGACTTGTAATTTTGAGAATACAGCTGCCTAAAGAAAAGGAATTTTAGTAACTTAAAACACTTAATCGTTCAAATGTATTGTTATAAAACAAGTAAGTTTTGTGACTCAAAACACTTCTATCTTCATCATCCATATTGTCAGTATTGTCACTGTCACTTGCATTACTATCAGAACTAGGTAAAATAAATGATAGTTACAAATCTCAAGATGGAACCAACCGATAGTTTAACGATATTCCCGTTTTTAATTGAATTTTCGACCTTTTGGAAAAAACACGAATTAGAAAAAAATATCGTGTTTCATTCTACAATGTATCTCCAAATAATAACCTGTCGCATAAAAGCACACCATTACAACAAAGTCCTTACCATGACTGCGTTGCAGCTGTCCCTGATACTGGTGGTGCAGCCTTTCGAAGTCCTCCTCCGTCCTATTCCTGTGCAGGTATATCCAGATCTTCCTTTTGGGATCGTACTTGACGCACGGATCAAACTGCGTATGCATTCTGTCCAATGCGCCCGACACCACCTGTTGCAGAATGTTGTCGGGCGCGGTGCTGGAGATGTACTGCGACGCTTTCAGCAACTCGCAAATCTCGGCGCGGGTACCTGCAAAACGTTAGAAGTGGAATTTTAGCAGCTTGGACAACTTCCAAACTGCATTTTTTTTAACGTGTAAAAATAAAATATGCGGAAACCGATCCAGCAATTAAAAAAATGGCTTCAAACAGACAGGCTCTAAGCTTCCGATGTATGGCATTGGTTCAAGAAACGTTTTACTGGTTCTTGGGGGATGCCGTCATGTCAAACGAACCAATGATGCAATGTTGCAGAATTTGTGGCGATCCTGACCTTTCATTTCGACCTAAAACGGATAGCCGTTAGGACCGATCCGGAATCGGTCCTAAACATATTTGACACAATTCAAAAATGGGTACGATCAAAATAAAACCATTATTTGGGTGTTGAGAATAAACTAACGCGTATTTTCAAGATGCATCTGATTCAAGGAATTGGTGTAACATATTGGCAACGGGGCAGATTGTCGGGTCAGCGTTGCTAGGTAACATGGTAATGAGCTTCCCTATCCAGCTATCTCTTTCTGACATATGTGTCTATACACACTTCTGTCGTACACATTGAACTCAAGCCGTCAGACAAATTTGGTTCTCAGTGTATAAGATTATCGGCGGTTACATCTTCCGCTCTGTGAAGTTTGTGATTGAGTATTAATGAATTTGTATTTTATACCGGGTGTGCCATCTTTTATTTCGGTATTGAAACATCGAATGACTTTGATATTTACCAACCGAGTGATTTGGTTATACGTGTTTCTGAAACGTCAATTTACTACAATTTTATCGCTTTACACCGAAACAACGTACCGAAATAGTCACAATGTACATTGAAAATCGTCGTTCAGTTGTGTTAACGCAACGTGCATATCGTCGAAAATATCGTGGAAAACAGGCACCGTCTGACAACACTATCGGTCGTTCGGTTTCGAATTTTCTTGAGTACGGGACAGTGATAGATCGTCAACATACCGTTGATCAACGACCAAGACGTTCCAATGAATTGGTTGAAGCGGTCAAACACAGCGTTGCCCAGTAACCAAAAGTGTCGTATCGTCACCGCGCTCAGCATTTTGGCATCAGTGGAACCACGTTGCGGCGCATTTTGAAGGATGATTTGCATTTTTTCTTTATAAGGTGTAGTAAACAAAAAAAATATTGACAAATGACCGTCCACGTCGCTTGGAATACGCCCAAACAGTCGCTCACTTGGTTGATGCTGAACCTGATTTTTGGAAGTAAATTGTGATGACCGACGAGGCCCATTTCACGCACTCTGGAGGCGTTAATAAGCAAAACTGTCGCATTTGGGGGACGAAAAATCCACATGAGATCCACGAAATGCCGTTGCATGACCGGAAAGTGACTGTATGGGCCGGCGTTTGCGCCAAAACCATCATTGGGCCATTTTTCTTCAACAAAAACGAAACAGTCGATGGAAATCGATATCGGTGGATGTTGGCTCATTATGTCTGCCCACATATGCGTGAAAAAGGTCTTGATGGTTACTGGTTTCAACAAGTCGGTGCGCCATGCCACACTGCAATTGAAACAATCCAGTTTCTGCAACGAAAATTCCCTGGACGTCTGATGTCAAAAAGAGGTGACATTGGCCACCCAGGTCTCCTGATTTGACCCCACCGGACTTATTCTTGTGGGGTTATTTAAAAATTCAAGTGTACGCCAGCTCCAGACCACTGAAGAACTCAAGGCAAACATCGTACCGCAATCGCCGCTATACCACCAGAGATGCTCGAAAAAGTAATGGAAAACGCAGCAAAACGGGCACATTTTGTTAAGTCCAATAAAGCTGGCCACTTGATAGATTTTGAGTTCAAAAACTAGTCCCAATAAATTGTAAAGGACCATATTTAATAAAAATACCCGATATATAGAAATCAGTTTTTCGTTTTCAAAGTTATTTCATGTTTACACACCGACATAAAAGATGGCGCACCCTGTATATTATTGTATTTGTTATATACCTTCGCCGTTTGGTAGTCGAGCTGCTGCGTCCCTTACCAACGAGAGGATCGTAACGAAGTTAGGCCGATCTGCGGACAGCATGGTGTGACCTCGAGCTTTCGTGTTGCCTGGAGATGAAGTATAGATGCCTTTTAAAGGACCTACCACCGATTCATAATTATTGCACCTGAAAATTGACAATAGGATACTATGTTATATAACGAACTGTCAGCAAAATATGAGTTCTAACATGGAGGTAACGCGAAAATAACGCTTATTCTCAGACATTAACAGTTTGGTATGGAATTTATGGACACACTCTATAGGCAATAAAAATCAAAACATGTGTATGTTGATTTATTCTGTTTCAAGGTACAAATTTCAAGGTTTTTTTTTTCAAACACACAAGGATAAACTGTAGCACCCTTGAAAAATGGAGAGACTATCCGATCTTAACAATACTTCCTTCAGAACCGTTAACTCCCGTGCCTATTAGTATCACCGTGACACCCCAAGTAGCACTTAAAACTATTTTACGTTCTTTTGAAGTTTAGAACGATTTTACTGTGGTAGATAAAAAGATAATGGTTTTGAAGTTACCTTGTAGATATACGCCCAGAACTTAAAACCGTTTAGTATTCGATACTAGTTTTAAAGAATCTAATAAGATTATCAAATACGATTAATTAATCTTATAAGTTTATTTTTCTTATAGTAGTTTTAAAAAGGTTTAGTTTCAAGTAATTTTAAAACTAATCATTTTTATGAAGAACTGGCGGGCTTTTCGGTTTTATTACGTTCTAATAGTGACATTGTAGTTTTTAAGAAGCTTTAAAGATTGTCGTAATACAAAAAATAAAACCCATTATTAAATCATGTTCTTACGACTATTATGTGAGCAAATAATATGTCTTAAACTGCTTTCTTAAATGCAGTTAGCAGGCTATATCAAAATTGAATAATCTTAAAGGATTTGGTTATTGTAAAGACAAGTTATACGTCTTGTTAGAAACAATAAAACTAAACTCATCCTTTCTTTTTTCATGTCCAAAACGGATGCCGCATTTTGTTTAGAGTGAAACAATGGTGTAGTGTATCTTTGATTTTAATAATTTTATTGTTAAAATGACCCGCCGATTTGAAAGTTAGATTCACATAAAAACCGACCATCATTTATCACAGCCTCACTAAATGGTTTTAGTTCCAAGGCCATCATGCTTTTATCTACGCTATGTGCTCTTGGAGCGGTATAAAATAAAACCCTTTGATCCTAACGTTTTTCTGTCGATTGACTAAATGATTTTAATGGACGTTGGAAACCATGATGGATAACAATATTGAAGCTTACATAAAAATGAAAAATTATCAACTGAAAGTAATAATTCTGATTTATTTTAACATTTTTTAAAAGTAAAGTTGATATGAAGGTTTTAAAATGTCAACTTGCTGACTAGAAATGACTCAACGACACGCTCAATGACCAGCTGCAAGTTAGTTCCCCAGCATGCTTTGTTTGTTTGTTTCATATATCCATATTACACAGTATATCACAAAATATATTATGTATTCAAGGCTACATATTTTTATACAAAATTTCACTACTACGAATTCTGGTTTTCAATGAGATATTTTTTTAATTTCCCTTTGAACATTTTCAAACTGACACACATCTTGATATCATTACTTAATTTATTAAATTCGTACAATCGCTTTTGAAATACTGATTTGCTCGTTATATTGCTACTGCAGTTTTGTAAATGAACGTCTATACTTCATGTAATAGAATAATTGTGGCACTCATTGTTCAATACAATAAAATTTTCTAAGTGATTTGGTAGAAGATGATTTTTTAACTTGAATATGAAAATGAAAACCAAGTAGGCTATGAAATTTTTGATATTTAACCATTGCAGTTCTTTCAGCATACAATTTATTCTAGTATATTTATTTTTATTTAAGCTGATTCTCATAGCTTTATTTTGTAATATTTATAATTTTGAAAATACAGTGTCATTTGCAGTGAACAAAATAGTCCAACAATATAACAAATGAGGAAGAATGATAGTATTGTACACAATTTTTTAGAATAAACGCTTAGGCTATGCGAAATTCTGTAAAAGTAATTTATTTTCTTGGATATTTTTGACATAATATATTCATAGTGCCCTTCAAATTTTAATTTACTGTCTACGTATATGCCCAAATATTTAAATGATTCGAATGACACAATTTTTTCATGATTAATTGTAAGATTTATCGTATTTTGATTTAAAGATTTTCCTATTGCCATATATTTTGTTTTGTTTGTGTTTAGTTTAAGTTTATTTACATTTAACCAATTTATTACGTTTTTCATATTATTTAACACCTCTATTGCAGTTTCAATGTCTTTATTTGATATATATGTATATATATATATTTATTTATTTGATATATATGTATATCAAATATATATTAATGTATCATCAGCAAATAGTTGAATTTTTCAGTGTTGTAAAATATCAGGAATATCGTTAATATATAAAATAAATAGTAATGGACCTGTGGCACACCTTCCGAAATGTTTTTAAGGTTTGATAATGTATTACCAATTTTAGTTCTTTGACTTCTATTGATTAAATAATTTTAATATATATATATATATATATATATATACGTATATATATATATATATTCAATTGTCTCAAATGCTCGCTTGAAATCTAAGAACAATGTTACTGTAAACTTTTTTCATCCATATCTCGCCTCCATTCTTCTACTACCATTTGAATTGCTGTTTCAGTAGAATACTTTTTTCTGAATCCTGCTTGAAATTTTGTCAATATCTTATTTTCTCCAATATATTCAATGACTTGATCATATGTTGCTTGCAGAATGCCGAGATATTCTGTAGAGTATACGAGTATCTCTGAGAAGATGTGACAAAGAAAATTGGATGAGTAGCTGAGTAGCAAGATCGCATCTGGATGATTGTATTGGTCTGCATGTGTATAAAATTAGTGATATTTTCTACGTGAGAAAATTATTACTGAATATGGTGCCCATGAAGTTATATCTATTAGCCGTCCCAAATGGGTTATTTGTGTTGTCCCTTCTGAAGAGAGGTTGTGTTCAAAGTTAAAAATTACGATTTTCCCGTTTTTTGCGTTTTTGCGTGGCAAAACTTTCCATCCAAACATCAAAGCCAAATCATGATAACTGAAACGTCATGACGTTTAGGCAACACGTACACCTACAAAACGAGTGCGCATGACAGCTACTTCTAAGTTAAAGTCTTGTAGAAAAACCTACATGATGTCACAAAAAACCTATATGTCGAAAAAAAACAACACAATGTAACTTTCCAGGATACGTAATACCCCTGCCGTTCGGTACTACGTGGGACGTTTATGAAAAATAAATGAAGCCCAATAAAGCGTACCTGTACGTGAACGCCTTATGCGGATTATCATATCGCCGCTTTTCCTGCTCTCGGAAGTCTCTAATCTCCTCGGGAGTTGCTTTGCGTACTGTCCAGTTGGTCGGGCACCGTGACGGCGGGGGCGTACTACACCTTTCCACCACTTCCACCTCAGCCTCGCTGCCCTCTTTGCCTCCCGGTGACCCGGCCTGTTTCGACGCGTCGGTACGATGCTCCAACCAGAAACCACACAGCTCGCTAAGTAGGGCGTCCGAGTCTCGGCCGGCTCCTTAAACCAACGTGTACTCAAGTTACTATAATAGACAGGCTCGTAGAACCCATTAGTGAAAAGCGTATCGGGAAGTTATTCAAAAAATATATTAAAGGTGTCCCCTCATATGATTTTCAGCTAAGAACTGAACTTTTTGTTAAGAATTTGGTAGGAATTGACCAGGCATTCATAAGCATTCAAAATCATAAGTTTGACTTTTTATAAGGCAATACAAATTGTGTCATTGACAAATAAACCGGTTTTAAATGATTTTTTCAGTTCAATATAAGACTTGGATTTTAAAAGATTAAAAAGTCGAATTTCTTTTACCTATTATTGGAAAGAAGCCCGAAAAACTGTTCTGGACTTTTAGCAAGAAATAGGTTTTGGGGCATATAACTTGAAAAAAAAACATATTGATCATATTTTTTTACTACTTATTATTGGAAATTGCACTTAAATATTGACACCTTACATGTTTTAATATATTTAAGGTAGTTATGGGCAACCTGGACAAAGCGAACACCCTAGGAAAATCGAATTACACGCATTTAATTCAATCTATGGATCGGTCTTCGTGAAAAAGAACAGATTTATGCGTTTAACCTTCCAATAATCGGAAATCGTTTCTAGAAGACCCCACGCACTTATTTCACTACCAGGCAGCAAAATCTATTTTCTAAAAACAAAAATACATAAATTTTGCAAGCTGACTGTTGTGGGTATAATTCTTTTTTTATTCCATCTACAGGGTGCGCCATCTTTTATGTCGGTATGTAAACATGGAATAACTTTGAAGACGAAAAACTGATTTCTATATATCGGGTATTTTTATTAAATATGGTCCTTTACAATTTATTGGGACTAGTTTTTGAACACACCATCAATCAAGTGGCCACCGTTATTGGCCAAAACAAAATTTGCCCGGTGGGGTCAAATCTGGAAACCTGGGTGGCCAGTCAGTGTCACCTCTTTTTGACATCAGACGTGCAGGGAATTTTCGTTGCAGAAACTGGATTGTTTCATTTGCAGTGCGGCATTTAGCACCGTCTTGTTGAAACCAGTAATCATCAAGACCTTTTTCACGCATTTGTGGGCAGACATAATGAGCCAACATCCACCGATATCGGTTTCCATCGACTGTTTCGCTTTCGTTGAATAAAAATGGCCCAATGATGGTTTTGGCGCAAACGCCGGCCCAAACAGTCACTTTCCGGTCATGCAACGGCATTTCGTGGATCTCATGTGGATTTTTCGTCCCCCAAATGCGACAGTTGGCGCACCCGATATACGAACAGCTTTTTAAAACATTTACCATGCTGCAAACAATTACGCAAAATACTGATGTTGAAGAATTGAGTTCATAGTATATCTGATGGGAGCAATTTAACTAAAACATTGTCAACACAGTGACACTTCAGGTTGTACCAGAAGGAGATGCCATGTTAGTTCTTTCAAAAAGGACACTCTAAGTATTATTTAATTTTATGTATATCTAAGTCTACCTGCTTTTGAGGATTATTTTCGTGAAAAATGACTAACGTAGGCCAATGATTTATAACAATTTTTTCTCGTATTATTTATTATACCATATTATTTGTAACGAATTTCTCATGGTAGGGTAGTACAGGGTAACCAAAAAAGATTATTAAAAAGCATTGAAGCATTGAAAATAAGGTTAATTGTGCATAAGGTTGTATCTTTCGCAAATTAGCAGTTTCTGAGATATAAGGGATTCTCTTACAATGAGATAATCTCAGTTCGTAATGTCGTGGCGACAGCGTGATATTCTTAGCAAATCGCATTTTGGAATCAACACCTTCGCGTACTTTGGGAACAGATTTCGAGGGTGTTTTTTTTGTAAACATCATATTTTCTTTCAGTTTAAAAGCGGTGTTGTCACGTTACTTGCAGAAGAGACCGTTAGCCATTGCCAATGATGAATTATAATTTGCGCGTCAGTTTCCAAACCTTGAGGAGTTGTGACGCAGAAGTGAAAACTCATTTCTTCACCATCCTCAAGAGTGAATGGTTTATTTTAAATCCTATAATCTTTGAGAAAACATATAAGTCGACACCTAGACAGAGCGACACATTCGTAGATACAACTTTTGAGCATATATTGGAATGCTGTATTTTCAATTTTTTTATTTGAAACAAAATTGAAATTTACTCACCAATCCACTGGTAAACATCTAAGCTGATCTTGTACTCCATGTAGGGGACAAAATCATCAGGTTGTTCAGAAGCATTCCCACATAGGAAAGTAATCGCTGATGGCAAGACATTGATCCAACTATCCGTCAAGTTATACCAGTCATTCAAGGGGCTAATGGGATTATCTTGCCACGTCTTCAACCTTAACAAACAAAATAATTCGTTAGATAATACAATATAAATCAGTCCTCTTCTTAGGATTTGAAGACAATATGTATGCACTATGACTCAGAATCCAAGAAAGTAGCAATGAATTCATGTTAAGTTATCTAAAACGTAATCTATGACGAATTTTGGTTCAAGTTTGACAAGTTCAGTTCTTCAAACACTTTTATGGGTATTTTTCTTTACGAAACAAAATATGGGTAAATAGTAATATGTCTGAAATCATGGAAGTGTCAGCCTCTGAGTCACATATTTTAAAACCTGCGCTTCTGATATCTTCCAAACTTTAAGGTGACATTTTACTGCACGTCAAGTTTCATAAAATACAAACGTGTTTCTCATGAGAGCCACATGTCCATAAATTGTCCTCTAAGCCACATAATAGTAAATATTCTCCAAACTCACCTCTCCTGCAAAGTGTACATATTCATCCTATGCTCACTCGTCGAACAGATGATATCCCTTATCAAAGAAAAGAAGTTAGCGTGCGTCTCTTGCATCAACTCAGGTTTATTATTTAGATCTAAGATATCTATATCTGTATTATCTAGGTCTATGGGTATATTCATCACATCTATACCGTCCAAATCTTCGATCTTAACGGGCGTGATGGTGTTATAGTACGGGCTATTGTTACTTTTGCTAAGCGGCGCTGCTACAGGTTCACTACCGTTCTTGGAACTACTGATGGTGTTTGTGGCGGGTGGCAATGCAATCTGAAAAAATATTTATTTTTTTAAACGAGTCAGCTCCTAGCTATGCGTCGTTCGTTGTCCGAGAGACCCAAGCCTAGACCATCCTGAGGAGTAGCCAAAAAGCACGGAACAGCTGACCATGATTTTCGTCTTAGGTCGGGCGGACTGAAGCAGAGCATATTTATTTTATTATATTTTTTGTCCTTTATAGCTAGGGATGCACCGAGTACTCGATTTGTACAGGGTACACTAGGCCCATTTTACAGAATACCCGGTTTCGAGCAGTATTGAATTACTGTCTGAACGCAAGACACATAACTTTTGTAAATCAAAGAATTGCACATGAGTTGTACAAAGTCTGGACTGATATGATGCGTCTCTCAAGCCTGCATGATATGTTCTTTCCCCCTATCACTAACAGTAGGTGAAATAACCCAGAGCAAATCACTCCACCGAGTACCCGATACTCGGTATTCGAATTTCACAGAGTACCCAGCACTCGGCCTTTTGAATAAAGCACTACTCGGTGCATCCCTATCTCATTTTTGTTGAACCATTAGTACAGGGTCTTTAGAAACGCAAGCTTTGCTATAATAAACCTTCAATCGTACCCGTACCATGCTACATAAGATACGAAGCATCAACTTTGAATATAGTCGTACATACAACTCACTAAAGGATGGGGGATTTTTGTCCCCGAAATAACTCAAATTTCAAATCGACCGTATCTAAGAAATTTTTGCTTTTAAATGTTTTAGACATGAATGAGTATTTTAAACTTTCATCGACATTTTATTGTAGTACTCGATTGTTCTTTGAAAGCCCAAAGATACCAATTCTCATTATAACTGTGTATTGAGACCTTGTGCTCAAATAAGAATAGTCAGTTATATATTCGAAAACAGGGGCGCGTTTTTTGAACAAAAATGCCAGAATTGCGAACATAGAGTTTTTAACAAACATCAAGTGCTGACATATGGAGGAAAATGTTGAAAAAAGTTTAAAATATGCACGTTCTGAAATATTTTACCATAAAAATTTCATAGATCTGATCAACTTTAAACCTGAGTTATTTTCAGGGCACATTATGGATACTGTCCCTTTTAAAGCGATTATTTTCAAGTTATAAGGATTTTGAGTATTCATTTGAAACGACTTCCTGAGAAAGTTCATCATGTTTTTATCGGACAATCTAATTTTATTGTCCTCAGTTATACAGTCCAACAATTAGACATTCAAACAGGTCGACGGAACTGAGTGATATGGAAACAATAAATAATTTGATATCTATTTACACAAAATAGCTTAGAACAATAACAATATTTACCTGTTTCCCTGAATCAGGATTACTCGGTGCTTCCTTTTTCACCTCCACTTTCGATTTTGAAGGCGACAATTTTTTCAAATGAAGTTTCAACTTATTAGGCCTAAAGCTATGTTTTGAACTATTCACAGAGACGGTATTAACCGTGGAATCTGAATCCGTATCGCTATTTGTACTGTGATGGTCGTAAGAGAGTTTAGCTTTCTTTGACATCTCTGAGGCTCTACCGTTGATGTGCTCTCTTTTCAATCGCTTTCTACTCATTATCTTACTACTATCATGCTTTGTGGGCAACATCAGGTTTTTGTTGTAAGGCAACTGAGTCCTGTGTATAACGTCCTTTAAAGTGATACCTGAAACAAGTATGTCTTAAAAAAAACCTAGGCACTGCTGGAAGATTAATAGATGGATGAACGTTTAGATGGCGATTTTAAGAAATAGGTTCATAAAAGTTTTGCACTACAGCTTTATTTATTGACTTCGTTCAAAGTAATTTCCACCACATTCAATACACTTCTTCATCCGCCAAAACCAGTCCTTAATCCAGCTCTGTCAAGTTCCACCAGGGAGTGCGGCACACTCGTACCAAGTCCTCAGAAGGCCCTTATCGCTAGAAAACCGTTTTCCTTTTAGCATGTCTCAACATGCAGCCTCCTGCGACCATTTATTAAATCATATAGCAAAACTTTTATAGCACCCTTTGTATAAACAGTGGAGCTAGGCCAAATCGTTCCGCTTAGTAATTCGATTCCATGGTTTAGATCTGTATTGGAGTAGCAAATTCAGTTCAAATACAACCCGGTTTTAAGCGCCGTATCGCAACGGTCGAGCCCGGGTTGGAGCATCAAAATCGAAACATAGGGATCGAAATCGACTCCTCCAATTTCTTCTACTGTATTGTTCCTTTGAAACAACTCGTCTAGAACCGAAGAAGCTCTAATGAACATCGGTTCAGAAACGTACTGTATAAAAAATGAATATGAATATTCATCAAACTTCACGCAGAATATTTTTCTTGTATTATTCCAAATATCCCAGTCTCTATGCCACTGATGTAGTCTGAACCGCAAAAATGTTTGCATGTATTGGTTATGCCGTCGTAAGTCCATGTCAAAATTTTAAGTCGACAGCTGCTCTATCACTCACTAATAATTTCAACATCCTATATCTCAACAAGGGACATTTTCAGATCCATGTCTATATATGACCTTTTCGGCTCAGAATTGAGAAGTACCAAGTCTTGAAGTTTGGTCACCTCATTGACAATCTATTGTCTTAATGTCACTCAACGTGAAGAGGTAATTTTGTTGGCGGGAAATTATTCAAAACTGTTGAAAACACAAAACCTTGAGCATCTGCATGTTGCTGCGACAACATTTTGCCATAGTTAAATGTTGATTAGTGGACTCATTAATAATTTTAGCACTCATGCATTAATCATGTGAGGCTCAAAACAGAAAGAATGGGTTTGAAAACAAAACACAAAATTATCTCAAGGGCGGGAGGAGGAAGTAATGAGATATTACCTGTATCTGTTTTTCTGTTGAACTCGAGATTTGTAAACCGAAAAGCTGCGTGATCTTAACTCGCCATTATCAGAAAACAATTTCCCCACCCGCCGCGACAACCGTCCAGCTCAGCTTTCCAACCGCCAGTAATATACCTGCCCATTATTATTTTTATGCCAGTCAGAAACGCCCCGCAACATCGATGTCTGATTGGACAATTTTATCACAGTTTGCAGAATCTAAATATATATGTATATTTAAAAATGATATTCTGAATATTTTTAAAATACTATGTACCAAAAAATACACGTGATATTTGGTAGAGGGAAGGGGAAGTTATTAAAAACATCACGTTATTGATCGGCGACTTAGTTTTATTGTCGAATACTGCAGAGGCAGGAAATTTAAACGTCTTTGTAAATCGGAGTTTCACATCGGTATCTTCTCAACAATCTCGGAAAAAACGATTTTAGTCCCTAATTGAGTGTCTTGATGTATGAAGTTGAGTACACCTTACCTTTTGTATTCAGTTCTGGGTCTAACGGATTTTCACACTTCCTTCTTCTATGGTCATACAGTAAATTTTTGAACGTTTCATCATTTATGTAGAATGGATTGTGATTTGGGGTAATATGTGACTCTAAATCTATTGACCCGTTCAAATTGGCAGTCATGGTACTAGTAAAAAGTTTCTCTTTAGAATTACTTAAACTAGTTTTAATGCTATTTAGAAGCCTCTTTTGCTTTCTAGACAGAGGAACGGGAGGTCCATCTGGATAATTTTCATCTGATGAACAACCTGGATCATCAGTTTTGGACCTTATTGAAGACAGAATTTGAAAGTAACGCCGTTTGGTACGATATGAAACGTAATCTACATCAGATTTTCTTCGGTCTTGTCTTGGCTCTACCCCAGGAGGGAGATTTTTTACTTGTGTTAATAGCTTATTTCGAGACTCAAATACTTCATATTTTAACTGTTCTCTAAATGTTTTATACCTGTAAATAATCAATATGAAATATTAGATTGGAGAGGTTTCCTTCTACACATCTAAAGGACAAAGGTTCATATATTTGCAATCAGACTGAAGAACCAGCACCAAAAAAGCTTGGCCAGTTATTTCATCACTTGATAATGTGAATTGTGTCTGAAATTCAAATTCTCGTTATTGCAGGGAATAACATAAGTATGTTTCTTCTAATAAGTAATATAAGTGAAATGCAATGCTGTTTTTCATGCAAAAAACCAAATAGACCACGAATTTGATATGAAATTGAAATTAACTCCACAGCAGCCTATTTTAGCTTGATTTAAATACCAAAACTGAATTTGATCGTAAATCCTGAGCCCACTGGCTGTATTAACAGCATTCTCAATTCTTCATTCCCTAGTCAGCTACCATAGGAAATAAATGAATATACTGTGTACCTATACTTTGCTTCCTTTCTCTCTGCTTTGTGTATTATCTTCCGCATACGTGCAATATCTGGCCTGAAGTAACCTGCTTTCAGATCGTCATGGAACTTGCTTACTGGACTATTAAAATGGAACACATCACAATCAAACAGCCTTTGCAATGTTTTTGTCTTTTCTAGATCATCATTTTCTGGGAAATTTGGTAGAAATGTCTGGAGATGCTGTCTGTTTTCATCTGACAAAGAGTTCCATACTTCTGTCGAGATTATTTCCCTAAATATTTCCTGTTTTTCACATAACCCATGTGGCAGTTGTAACTTCACATCATTTATTTGGGCAGTTTCCATTCCGTCATCTTCAGAGCTTTCAGTACTGTATTCAGATGAGCTTTCTTCTGAACTTGAGTTGTCCATTGTTTACCTATTTATATACAGCCTGAAATTTTAAACTCAATGATGATAATGATTCAACATAATGCTATTGAAGTTTGGAATATTAATGGAATGCACTTATTCAACCAATCAACAATGAATAATCTGAGAGATTCTATGAAAATAGATTCACAGTAAACCTCTTTGGAGTAATCTGGAAGATAAAGTGTAATTATTTTGTATTTTGGAACAACCATGAAGGCAGACTATAAGCAATGAGTTATTGTTGTTGCTGTGAAGAAGTTAAAAATATGTATAACTGGGAAAGAAACCTGTTCTATAACCTGGAAATCTTCAGAATAAATCAGTCATACTGCTATATGAATTTGCTAATGTAGTTATTTTTTTTTTTGCAGGAAAAAATACAAGAACTGTTGAGATGTTTATGTAAGATAACTGAGGAGAAACATACAGGAGAATCTTTTGAAAAAATATCAATAATATGGGATTTTGTGAAACCAGTTTGTATGTTATCGCTATAACTTCATCAAGTTAATGCAGTAAAAAGGAAAAGGGTGCCTCAAGTATGAATAAAAAATTCAGTTTAACCCTGTTTGGTTGTTTCCGATAGCTAAAAATGTCACTCATTAGAAGACTCATTTTGAGTTCCAAGTGTATTTAATTTCAATAATATTCAATTGTTTGGAGTCACTTTCAGGTGTTTTTTAAGTAAAAGCATTTTTTTAATAAGTCTAGATCCACTAACTAATCAGTCGCAAAACATACTAGCAAAAGCAAGAGTAGAGAAAAATGTTAAAAAGCATTTATACTAGTTGTTCAAGATGGGCAATGAAAATGTATTCTCTATTACAGCATATAAAAAAATTTAATGGAATACAAGCTTATAAGATTCATGTATTCATATTGTTTATCCAGTCTTATACATACACATATCACATTATTGAGTTTAAACTCAATGAAGCATGCCAAAAAATTATTTACTGTTGATTTCTATGCAGTTCTGCATAAATTACAAGTACAAGGCTGTGATGTAAACAGAAAGTATGTAAACAGCTATTCAAAGTCAATTGGTCCATTTTCGCAAAGTTCTAAATATTGAAACTAGACATTATCACTCTAAGCTAATGACAGTTATGTAATGCTAATTATTACTATGTGATAAGTTTATTAAAGGTACCTTAGATGCATCAAGTTGTCAACAACTTCTCATGACCCTCCTGAAGATAGAATGGAAGTTGATATGCAGTGACTAGCACAGAAACCTTCATATAAGTATTAACTTGCACTTTTTATAACATTTTTAACCATTGTCTAACACAATTACAGCTTCCTTTCCATTTAACCAGAATGATAATTATGAAATGTTTTATAATAAAGTAGTTCATACTTCCATTTGTCAGATTCCTGACAGCAGTTGTTGTAAATTTAATTTATTGCCCTACAAGGCCTCGTCTCTTCCCTATTCACGTGCACATTCAATTTTACAAATGCAATTTAACGATTTCCCAGATTTGTGACCCCTTTAGCTGAAAGATATTTTTATTCGCGCACAAACCGATATTTGGTAATCATTACATTCTCGTGTAGCAAAATATTAAATCAAGGTCACCTTAATATGGATTAACATCAGAAATACAGCTATTTTTAAGCAGATTGTGTGCTGGGACATATTAATTGCTTCTTTTTACATGATCCTAGAAGTACCATCAATAAACAATCATGTTTGATTTGAAATGAGCGGGGGAGGGGTGAGAGGACATTTTTGAAAAATCACCAGTACACACCTTTTTTATTGAGCTACGTTTTATCCAGAAATATCTCGGCCGCACTCACTTTTAACTCGTAATACACAGGCACGCCTGCATTGCGGATATAGATATACCAAAACAATGCATATTCACGTCTGGCGAGAGGCCGCGAAACCATTTTGGCAGTAGCCATGAACGTTGAAACGGCAACTTCAGATAACGAAGTTTAACCCTTTACACAACAGATAAGGACCATACGCCTACGATATACTGTCAGTTAACATATTAGAGACGATTTGCTGAGGTTTCCACGGTTTTTCACTCATTTATCGCTTTAATTTTACACGAAATAAACACGACATATTTCCACTTTCAAACACAATCTAGTAACATTTGGTTTTAAAGGGTTGGTGACAGCAAATGTCATAAGTGTCAGGTTAACACATGCGCAACTGTGAAGTTGCTTTTCGTCATCAAAATGGCGCTGAATTTACATGTCAAGATCCATCCCGTAGTTTTATTCCAAATTGTAGATGCATATGAACGAAGAAATGCAGATTCTTACAGAGTTATCGGAACTTTACTTGGTACGTTAAATTTCTAATGAGCTAAAACCTTCCTAATGCTTTCATTCGAATAAATGTTTGCCATACGCGGATCATAACCTATATGCCAATATTTTTCACGAGATAACCGGTTGAATTTTGTTGTAGGTAGCTCAGATAAAGGCATAGTCGAGGTGACGAATTGCTTTTGTGTTCCCCATAAAGAATATGATGATCAAGTGGAGGCAGAACTGTCTTATGCAATGGATGTCTATGACTTGAACCGAAGGGTCAACTCAAATGAAGCCATTGTTGGATGGTGGGCAACGGGTCATGAAGTGACGAATCATAGCGCTGTCATCCATGAATACTACTCCAGAGAATGCAACAACCCAGTGCATGTCACTGTTGACACCAGTCTGCAAAATGGGCGCATGGGATTGAAAGCTTATGTTTGTGTTCCTCTTGGAGTTCCCAATGGCAAACCAGGATGCATGTTTACCTCTATCCCCATCGACATTACCTGTTATGATCCTGAAGTGTTTGGGCTGCACTTATGTGAGAAGACAATGACTGTTGGTCGCCTCAGGACTGTCAGTCCTATGCAAGATCTAAACCAGGTAGCTGAAGCAGGAACCAAGATGACCATATTGTTGGATCAAGTATTAGCATATGTGGAGGATGTTCTGGCTAACAGAGTGGCACCAAACAATGCAGTTGGCCGGTCCTTGTTAGATTTGGTGAATTCTGTGCCACACATGACAAATGAGCAGTTCTCAGAAATGTTCAACAGCAATGTCAAGGATTTGCTTATGGTTGTTACTTTATCACAGTTGATAAAAACACAACTACAATTCAATGAAAAACTTACATTGTTAACATCTATATAATAAATAAAATATTTGAATGTTGTTCTGAATTAATTTGTCTCCTTAAATCCTACATGGAGATTTGAAATATTGGTATCACTTTAGTTCAAATGACTGACTAATGGTTTATGCGGCTAAGGTAACCATATGGTTGAATGATGACAAAATAAGAATAAAAAATTGTGCTGTTAACTGACATTTATTTAGTAGCTTTACATTTCGATCCCTGCAATGAAGACTATAGTAACTCCAAAACCCTTGCTTTTGACCTACTATACGGTATTGATAGACATCGGGTTCTCTTTGGTGGAAGAATATGGTATCTCAGCCATGCAACTATAGGCAACCAACAAATCTACGTCATATAGTAAGTATATAGGTTGATTCTCACTATACATTTCGTAACCGTTCCGTAAATTACTGAAATTAAATATTCGCTTAAAGCAGGCTATTGCGTGTGTACGCACATTAAGGTTGATTCTTACTATTCATTCCGTTTCCATTCCATATCAGTTTCGTAAGCGTTCCATACAATGTGATTGTATACCCTACGGATAATGTACATACACACGCAATGGCCTGCTTTAAGCGAAGGCGAATATTAATTTAAATAATTTACGGAATGTATAGTGAGAATCAACCTTTATCCGTAAGGTATACTGTGTATACAATCACATTGTACGGAACGTTTACGAAACTGATATGCAATGGAAACGGAATGTATAGTGAGAATCAACCTTAATAGTGGCGGCTGCGCCCGCGAAAACTACATCAAATTGAGTTACTTTAGTCTTCGATACAAAAAATCACGGAAAGCCTAACTTACTGTTTGTCTTACTATGATTTTCGCGGCGTATTTTGACGTTACGGTAATTAATATCGAAAACGTTTCAAATATTAGGTGTATGAAAGGAGCAGTTTTCAAAGCGAACTAAAATGAATTCAAGAACCAAAATAATTCTGGCAGATGCAAAGAAGCTAAGTGCAGTTGCTGAACCGTTCAATTCAGGCAAGTTTGGTTCATAAATAGTGATGAATTCTTTTAACACAACAAAAAGGTTCGAACATAGCATCCTCTTCTTCTCCACGTTATGCATTGGGCTCTGTCGCATCACCAGAATTCAACTACTACAGTCCTCGGATTCGCTAAGACGACACTCACGTGTTTGCTTTTTATTCGTTCATCTCCAAGTCTGTACCTGATACAGACCTATATCGTACTGATGAGGGCTAAAGAGTCCTGTCTGCGGTTGGTCGTGAATCCATTAGTTTTAAATAAAAGCTAAAATCGGAAAATTGGAACAAAGACAACTGTGGAGAAAAGTTGAAAACGAATAAGATGAGAGCCTCGTGAAATTAAATATAAGTGTTGCTCTACACAAGCTTGCTTCCAGTAGATGCTAGAAAATTAAATGGTTTATTAGCGTATGTAAATCAGCAGTAAATACTCTTCCTAACAGTCCTGAGGCTTACCTGCTTTTCATTTTTCTCTAAAAGCCAAGGGAGATAAAAAATACAAAGAGGACGTAATATTAACAGTGCTGAAAATACAGAAGTTGAGAACAAATGATAGTGGAGAACAGGAAGATGAATATAATTTAGTGACTCAGATTTGCATTAAAGAGGTTTTTTGACCAGTTGTTTGAAAAATACTGTAATATTTCAATTCTAAGTCTAGAGCAAGTGTACTGTTTTCTTTAATTGATCCAACGGAAACTATAGTAAGTCAGCAAAATTTATAAAAAAATTATCATTTTCGCTAGGTTTGTATAGTAATACCATTTATAACCTTCTATATACAAGAATTACCGCAATGTCCAACATATTTTTGATGAGATCGTCATTTTTCTGACAACGAAATTCATCAGAAAATCTTCTAATGCCTATATCTCAGTTCAACCAAAACTGAGTTACGATAGTCTTCCTTGCAGTGGTCGATTTGAAGTCAAACCTTCAGGAATGGGGATGTTCAATAGCCTTTTCTTTGCATAGATAAAACAATTTCTGATATGGCAGTATGTTGAAGCAGTAAAACTATAATTCCAGAATTATTTGCTCCTAAAAGCATCCTGCTTTCATTACATTGCCACACCTGTTTTTTATAAACAAGAGGAAATGGTGGTGTGATTCCTCTTTCCTTTTTTGAAATTAATGAATGAACTATGTAATAAAAAAAACACTCTAAATGAAGTCTAAGGGTCGGCCAATGCAAAACAGTTGTCTAGTGGCTTGCAAATTTAGGCCCTAGCTCAAAGCGGAGAGTAGGGGTGAGCTAAGAGCACCGGTGACTTAAGACGGATTAAGCCACAAGTTCTCGAGGAGTTAATCGGAACTTGTTTTGCTTGACCACCCACACAAAAGAAGCGAATATCACAGTAATGACAAAACTTAATTAATTGTACACATAGAGCCAAATAAAACAAGATATTAAAAAAATCACGATATATCAACACAACAAACAGCACAAATGCTCCACCACTGGAGTGCAAGTTAAAAAAAGGATATTATTAAAAACTACCGCACAACAAAATTATTTGACGGTGATAAATAACCCCGCGAAACGTTTACCATGGTACATGCTTTACAGATATTTTAGCGCCTAGACCCAAACTTATCTGCGTTGAGGTCTCCTAGTTACGGCTAGGCTGTGCATTATATTCAACTCCTCGTTTCAAAATCACATCCTTCCTTCCTGTTGGGGTACTGCATCTGGACATCTATATACAAAAAACTACCGTCCTATCAGTCTTGTGATCTATATACAAAAAACTACCGTCCTATCAGTATTGTGCCTATAGCTGCGAAAATAGCCGAAAAGATCGTCCAAGAACAACTTATGACATTTGCGTTCAAGAACAACCTGCTGCTTAGCAACCAACATGGTTTTATTCCTGGTAGATCAATTATCACCAACATGTTACACTGCATCGACAATTGGACCAAATCTTTAGACGCAAATGAACCGGTCGACGTAGTTTATCTGGATTTTTCCAGAGCTTTCGATCGAGTTCCGCATAAAAGGCTCCTGCACAAGCTTGAACATCCCGGAATCAGGGGAAATTTGTTGTTATGGATTGAAGCTTTTTTGTTAGATAGATCATTCTCCGTCCGTGTTGGAGACGCCTATTCTTATAGCCATCGTGTTACTAGTGGAGTTCCACAAGGATCTGTGCTAGGGCCAATACTTTTTCTTCTTTATACAAGCGACCTTTCCACCCGACTTTCTTCTATGTGTTCCATCTATGCAGATGATACTAAAGTCTATAACACTGCCATGAACTCATCTGTGCTTCAAGAAGACCTCAAGCTGATCAGAAAGTGGTCAGAACTTTGGCTCCTGCCTTTAAATCTCTCGAAATGCTAAGTTCTCCACCTGGGAAAGAATAATCCTAACTTAACATATAAGATTGGCAAACATACCTTAGAGACTGCTTTTCTTCACACATATCTTGGTCTGACAGTTAATGACCGGCTCACCTGGTCGGAGCACATTCAGAACATAACCTCTAAGGCAAAGCGGTTGCTATATATGATGGAAAGATCATTTAGCGGTTGCAACGTTAGTACCTCCTCCTTCTTGTACACAACTTTCGTACGACCCCTACTGGAGTTTGCTGCTCCGGTATGGGATTCAAACCTTGTTCGCGATAGCAGCTTATTAGAGGCCGTTCAGCGTCGTGCTACACGTATGCCTTATGGCACACGTAAGCCAAGTTATGAAGACCGCCTCGAGTTATATAACCTGCCTGTTTTTGCTAATAGAAGAAGGCAAGGAGATCTCATCATCACTTTCAGAGCACTGCATAATTTGTTTGGTGTGGACATGTCGCATCTGTTTCGTCTGGCAATGAACAATCTCAGAGGCCATAACTTCAAATTGCAGAAGGAAGCTTTTAGAACCTCTACTCGTCAGCGCTTTATCTCAAATCGCGCCTTCGATGCATGGAACAGTCTTCCATCTTATGTAGTGAACTCGGCATCCGTCAACAGTTTCAAAAACAATTATGATAGACACCGCAGTGCTTAACATATTGTTCCCATTCTGTATATGTCTACTTCAGAAGTGCTAAGATTGTCAAATTGTTATATTTCTTTTGTCTGGACACTATTATCTATTATGTGTTTGAGTTTATAGTACTTGTACTCAACTCAAATTTGTTGTTTAATAATAATAATTATAATAAAGGAAAGATAAAAATGTACTAAAGTGATATACCCTCAGAAAGTTATCCCTTGTTCTAATATAAAGGCATGGCAGCTCAAAAATCAAAATCATGATCAACGTAATGTGATGCCTAATATAAGGTGCCGTGTAGGCACTGCCCCATATTTGAATACGTAAAATGCCAAACAAAATCAAGTACCCGCTAAGAATTTCAGTCAGCAATAATCAATATATAAATACGTACCTATAAAATAGTTAATTAAAATACTTTACCTGTTCACATCAGGATTTTTTTCTTGCTCAAGGCCTCAAGTGGAAGCGGTGGCTTCTGGCAATATCAGCTACATACAAAGCTGGAGGAGTGTGTGGTGGTTCTCCGCAATATCTTACCTTCCACTAAAAGGAAGCAGATATTGAACAAACTTGTCAGGACATGCATTAATGCACGTGATCCGATGGTATAAGAAAAAAAACTTACTGCTGAAGATTAAGATCCCACAAGAGAATGGACGTGGTAGCACCCAAACCAAAACAACGAAACGTAAGGGACAATATGAAGGGGTACTACTCCTCAAACTGGTGTTCGGCACCTAATATTCCAGAATCTGGAGGTTAAATAAATGGGGCTCACACCACAATCTCAGGAGGGAAGTGACCGTCACCAAACACCTAACTTTATATAGGAAGGTTCAATGAGTGGCCTTGAAGAAGATATGTTCGATAGGAAACCAAGTAACTGAGAAAAACCACACAATACTGAATCACTAGGAAAGAAGGATATAATACGTGTTAAATCATACAATCAATAATCTATGAAATTTGCCAAAAGACAATCATTGAAAAGGGCTTGGCCTAGGAATAGGCGCTCTGCCATTAAT